CAATGTTTGGAGAGAAATATGGCGAGCAGGTTAGTCTGTATATATAGATGTTTTTTTCTTCAAAAATAGTTAGTGCCCTGGCCTCTGGAAATTAGTATGTTGCAGTGACATGCCTGAGTAGGGAAGTGCCAAGTCATGAAAGTTTGTGCAGATGAAATTCCGAACTTGAAGGAGCATAGAACAATGAAAATGCATGTTATACCATAGTAGCATAGCCAATAGTTTAACCTCAATAAGACTTTTTTTTTGTTCTGATAGGTCAGAGTTGTAGAGGTCCCTGGGGTGTCTATGGAACTCTGTGGTGGAACTCATGTGAGTAACACCGCTGAGATCCGTGGTTTCAAGATTATCTCAGAGCAGGGAATAGCTTCTGGAGTCAGAAGGATTGAGGCTGTTGCAGGTGATGCATTTGTTGAGTATGTTTGTGCCCGTGACAACTATATGCGGTGCTTGTGCTCATCCCTTAAGGTATGATGGTGCTCATGCTGTTGCCCTTCTGATTTGTCTTGTGTTTGTTTGTAAGTTTGGTTGCTATACTTTGTGAATCTATGATCGTTTACTTCTTTGCCCCATGTTCAAATAGACAAACATGCATGCTTCTAACTACTGCTAATCATAGGCACATGTGTTCAGATACAGCATGTTGGCAACAAATTTTACTCTGTAACTTGATTATAGACATCATGTTAATCACAAGCAAAATGCCAACAGCATGCTCATCCTGTCATCCATGCCTAGGATGATCAATTCTTGCAACAACAAACTATGCTGATTATGTCTTCCATTTGTGTTTTTCAATTGATGTCCATCTACTCAAAATAACTTTGCAGGTCAAGGCTGAAGATGTGAATGGCAGAGTAGAAACAATTCTTGAAGAGCTAAGAACAACCAGAAACGAAGTATCATCTCTACGCAGCAAAATCGCGGTGCTCAAAGCAGCATCCCTCGCAAATAAAGCTACAACTATCGATAACACGAGGTATGACGCCTCCGCTTTCGCCATTTTCACATCCAGTCTTCATGATCATCACTTGCTAGTTGCTACTAGAAAACCAATAACATTTGGCAGTTGACAATTTGACATAAGCAACAAATCCATCCCAAAAATCTGTGCTCTGCAGGGTCGTGGTTGAGAACATGGGTGATGTGGACGCCGATGGTCTGAAGAGCGCCGCGGAGTATCTCGTGGACACCCTTGAAGACCCTGCCGCGGTGATCTTAGGCTCAAGCCCGGGCGATGGCAAGGTCAGCTTGGTTGCGGCCTTCAGCCCCGGCGTCGTCAAGATGGGTATCCAGGCAGGGAAGTTCGTCGGCGGCATAGCCAAACTCTGCGGCGGAGGCGGCGGCGGCAAGCCCAATTTTGCCCAAGCCGGTGGACGGAAGCCGGAGAACTTGCCGGGTGCGCTCGAGAAGGCACGGGATGAAATTGTTGCTGCTATATCGTCGAAGTCGAGCTGATTTTTGTACTGAACCATGTACATAGGGAATAGAACAGCCTTACGGCTATATGGTTCACAGTGGCAGTAACATTTTTCGTCAACCAAAAATAGGAAATTGTTGTTTTGGGATTTTTTTTCTGCCCGGTTGCGTACGTACTTTGCAGAAAACCAGCTTGTACCATTTGTAACTACCCCGTCCCAAAAAAAACTCAACAGAGCAAGTTTAATAATATAGTCCACTACTAGCTATAAATCATCTATATACAATGTAATAGTCAATTCATACTATAGTTACTTAATATACTATTAATACATGGTCCTATCTATCATATACATATTACGTCTTGGAGTTCGTGCTACAGCTGGCTACAGATTTGTAGCCCGCTGCTCTTCTCTCTCTTCCTTTATCTCTTTAAAATATATTTATAGCTGGCTTATAGCCCGCTATTGCACCTTCTCTTATAGGTTTGAGTTTTTTTTTTAGATGGAGGGAGTAGTGACAAATTAATGTTACTATGGCCCTTATCAGCGCAGCTTCTGGCTAGCTTTTGGAAGAAGAACGAGAAAGAATGCAAATCTCTCTTTTTTTTTTCTCAAATATGCATGGGAGCTGCTGAGGAGGGGTGTTCAAGACGCAATTACAAATAACAGAGAAAACAAAGGTCAAAAAGCAAACACACAAAAAACAAACAGAATACAACGAACAAAGCATCCCAAGAAGACCCTTGTAATGTTCTACTCCCTCCGTCCCATAAAAAACTAATCTAGACTGTGTTTAGTTCCACGTCAAAATTGAAAGTTTGAAGAAATTGGAATGATATGACGGAAAAGTTGGAAGTTTGTGTGTGTAGGAAAGTTCGATGTGACGGAATAGTTAGAAGTTTGAAGAAAAAAGTTGGAATCTAAACAGGGCCCTAGTACTGGATGTGACACATTCTAGTAATACAAATATGGACACATCTCTGTCCAGATTCATTGTACTAGAATATGTCACATTCAGTCCTAGATTCATTTTTTTGAATGGAGGGAGTAACTCTCACTTAGGTTGTGCTTTTTTTGTTGGGAACCCTCCCTTCGCACGTAAACGGAGCGATGGATTAACGCATAATTAAGTAAGTATTAGCTATAAAATATTGAAAATAGATTACTATGTTTTTTTAAAGCAACTTTCCTATAGAAACTTTTTTTAAAAAACACACTGTTTAACAGTTTGAAAAATGAACACGCGAAAAACAAGAGAAGTGAGTTGAGAACTTAGGCTAAGCCTTAGCCGGGATCAGTAATCAGTGAAAGTCCCTTGGGCCTTGGCCTTGGCCAATCTCCAAAGACATGCAAGAACCAAGCAAGCTGAAATACTTAGGGAAGCCTCGAAGGCAAATTTCTTGAAGGGCTGGTTTCTCCAATAGGCTTCTAAAAAAAAGGTCATTTGTGAAGATTATGATGTTTTCATTAAACTCTTGTTAGATATAGTAGTGAGCACATATGGTTGTGAACTCATTCACAAAGACTTAAGTCTCACCTTTCTTTCAGCATGTGTGAGACAAAATAAGTATTTATCTCTCTCTATTTTTTATTATTTCTTTCCCGACAATATTTTTTTATAAAAAAAGTTGACACTTCTTAATCAACCTTATTCCGCTTCCTCGCCCTGCTTGAGCTCTACTATCGTTGTCACCACTGTCATCTTAAGCTCCTCCATGGCATACCTCTAGATCCCAATCATGATATTGGTATCCATGTTGTGGCCGCCTTCACCTTGAGGTCTTGGTCGCTACTATCTCTACTTTGAGCTATGGCTATCGTTGTTGCCTTGAGCTCATGAGTAGTGCCATGTTGAAGTTGTAGTCATTATCACCGTCTCGAGCTCATCATTGTGGTTGCCATTACTGCATGAAGCTCCTCCCTTTTACCAACTATACATCCTAGTTGCTATTTTCATCGAGCCACCTCTAGGAGCTTGTTGCCACCATGTTTTGTTGGACTATCTCCAAGAGGGATGAGGCTCCCCTGACGTTGTACGGTTTGCAGTTGTGCTACTGATATGTGGGCCCACATATTAGTGACTCATCTGCAAACTGCACAACATCAGAGGATCTATTTCCCTCCAAGAGCTAGCCGTTGCTAATTCTACTCCAACACCACATCACCACCTCCTTCTACGGTTTCTATTCACACCATTGATTGTGGATTTGCACATTGATTCCTAAGCAAATGGAAAAGATAAAGGATGCTATATGTAGTTGTTGATATGGTTTTACACTTCAATAACTAGACTGTTAAACAAACCAGATAATATAAATAGTAGCTTCTTTTGGAATCTAGGTAAACATGATAGGACAATGTAGGACTAATTTAGACTATAATAATTTCATAAGAAAACAAAACTATCAATTTCCCGCAAGAATGGAGAAAAATTTCCCATGTTCTAAACAAGTCTAATAAGCATGTACAACTGCTATTTATTTATCTCGTTCCACTCCCTTGGCCTGCTTATGAGCTCCTAGTCATCGTATCTCTACATTGAGCTATAGCCACAATCAACATTGCCACCTTAAGCTCGTTGATGGCACCATAGCATCCACCTAAGCTTTGGTCACTATCATCGTTCCTATCTTTAGCTTCTTGACAACACCACCTCTAGGTATCAATATTGTCACGGCCTCAATCTCTGTTGTAGCTACCTCCACTTTGAGCTTATAAGCGCTACCGTCCAATTCCAGATCCTAATCATTATCCATGCCTTGAGTAGCCACATCTCTAGATCAAACTCCTCCATTGCTCCTCTAGAGTCTAGATCCTAGTTGAGTTCTCGTTATCCACTTCTCGAAGTTCGTTGCAACATGGTCAGTTGGTCATCAAAATGCCTCCAAGTGCTTTCCATTGCTTCCTCTGCCACAATGCCACCTCCCTATGTGGATTCCATTGCCTAAAGATTTGATCACATTGATTGTTGATTTGGGCGTTAATTGATATTGATATTATATGTAGCTATTGATATTGTTTCACGTTTCGATGGCTAGTGTACTAATAAATAATCAGATTCTAAGAAAAATATCTTATCCATAATACCATTCAAATTGCACTATATAAAACTAATTTAGAGCTTTACAATACAAAAGTTACGTAAAACTACCGTTCCGAACCGATAAATTTTCCTGCGTTCTAAATAGGTCTTAAAAAAAGGAGTTTAAAGAAAAAAATATAACAATAAACCAACACGAAATTTGGCTACGATTTACGGTCAATTACTAGTTACCATTCCTTGCAATTTTCACCAGCTAGCGGTACTCCCAAATTCCCCCCCATTTCGCGCTCGGCTCCGTTGCGCCCGCGCTCCAAAAATCCCGAACCGGTGGCGCGTACTACCCAACGACCCGCACCACACCTATCACACCGACACGCGGGCCCCATCCGTCACCAACCGACACCGACCCGAGCCGCACCCGCGCGCGGGGGACGGACGGAAGCGTTTTGAAAAACATCGCCGCCGCCCGCGCGCCGCCACCAAAAAAAGGAAAAAAAAATCGCGCATAAATCATTTCCCCCCCCCCCCCTCCACAACCAAATCTCTCCTCCCGCTCGCCGAAACCCTCGCCGTCGCCGCGCCATGGCCGCCGCCGCCGATGCTCCCCCGCCTCCTCCGGAGGTCGCCCCGCCCGCGCCCGCGCCCGCCCCCGCGCCGGCGCCATATCAGCCGCCGCGGCTGGCGGTGGCCGACGGAGCGGGAGGTGGCGGCGGCGGCGGCGGGAAGCCGTGCAGGCACCACGCGTACAGCCGCAAGCAGAAGTCGCTCGGCCTCCTCTGCACCAAGTAAACAGCTAACAACCCTCCCCCTCCCCTCCGCGCAGCTTCGCGCAACCGCTATAGCTTTCTCGAGGTTGATTTGGCTGGCCCTCCCTGGTGTGTTTGGTTTGCTAGCTTCGTGGCGCTGTACGACCGGGAGGACGTGGAGTCGGTGGGGCTGGACGACGCGGCGAGGCGGCTGGGCGTCGAGAGGCGCCGGATCTACGACATCGTCAACGTGCTCGAGAGCATCGGGGTCAGGAAAATTTTTTCATCTCCTCGCCTCGTCTCCCTTTCTTGGATTTGAGGAGCGATCTTGTTCTGCGTTCGCTAAACATTTCTTGGCCGGTCGTGCGCAGATGCTCGTGAGGAGGGCCAAGAATCGGTATACGTGGATCGGCTTCGGTGGAGTCCCTGCGGCGCTCGCGAAACTCAAGGTTAGGAGGATCCGCATATTCTGTTCTTACCATAGTGTCATTGTATGCTTTGTGAGGCGTAATCAGATCGGAATTTCGATGTATTTATTGAATTTTCTGTTGTTTCGGTTTGGTCAGGAGATGTCACTGAGGGCGGTGTCAAGCGTGGCGTCACCGTCGCTGGATGAAACATCTGCTGCTAATGTTAGATTTATTCTCTCCTCTTTGCTAGCTCTTGGTATTGTTACAAATCGACGAAATGATTAGCACTTGTACTGACAAAAGTGGCACATTTTGGGTTTTGTGAATTATGATTATAAAAGGTCTCGGATGATGAGGATGATGACAAGTTAGATGATGCTGAGGGCGATGCGGAGAGCGAGAAGCTCAGCCTCAGCCAGTCCATTGACAATCCTTCTGATAAGCCTGATGCACCCCCTTGCAAGCTTCGATCCGGTATAGTTGGTTAATCGCTTTTCTTGCTATCTCACCGTGCCTGTTGGAACACATGGTTTGTACTGACTGGTTGTTGTATTAGCAGAGCATAGGAAGGAGAAGTCCCTTGGGCTGCTCACTCAGAATTTTGTCAAGCTCTTCCTCACCATGGAGGTAAGCAGCACTGGATTTGTTCCTCAACTGTTTGATTAAGTTGGATGTCCTTTGTGGTTAATTTTAGCGGAATTTGTATTTGATTCAGATTGAGACGATCTCACTTGATGAAGCCGCAAAGCGGCTCCTTGGAGAGGGACATGCGGCGAACAATATGAGAAGTAATTGTTCACATTTCCTATTTATAATTCCAAACTGACAGTAGTTTTTACTATCCAACTGGAACTCACAATGATTCTGATGTTCTTGATACAGCCAAAGTTCGGCGATTGTACGATATTGCCAATGTGCTGTCTTCTTTGAATCTTATTGAGAAGGTATACCCTCAAACCGCATTCGATTTCAGTTGAACCTAAGTGATTTTTTCTTAACTTGGTATCTTCTGCTGCTTCTTTCAGACACAACAGGCGGACTCAAGAAAACCTGCATTCCGGTGGCTGGGCCAGGCAAAACGGAATGAAGGCGTCACGGTTGCTTTACCCCCAACCAAGACGTTGCCTAACAAGAGAGCATTTGGTACTGATCTGACTAACATTGACAATAAGAGGGGTAAGTTGGACTCCACAATGGAGAACAGAGGCAAGCCCACGCAGGATGGTGGCAACCTATTCAATAATTTGCAGAGGCAATTAGGGCAAGAGAACAGGAGCGATTTTGTTTATGGCCCCTTCCACCCTGCTGTTGCAAGGAAACAAGAACATGGTAATCGCACAGTACAAGAGAAGGAGAGGAAGAGCATTCAAGACTGGGAGAACCTTGCTTCTTCTTTCCGTCCGCAATATCAAAATCCAGGTGAGCTCCAACTCTCTCTATATATCTATATCGCCAAACGAATGCTGTTTCAAGAACCCATTTTGCATTAGCTATTAGTCCATCTGTCTAGCTAGCATTTTTGGTTGCTCTCTACATACCATGTGATATGTCAGTGCTACACAAACGTCAAGAAGCAAATGAAACCTGGAAATTACTGAGTGCTCGTGGATTGTTGTGAACAATTGAAGGGCTTCTTAGGTTCATACATGTGTCATCAGTTACAAGTTTAACCCCTTCAACCCTTAGTTGATATACACTTGTAGGGTAGAGCTCCTTTACCTGTGCCTTGCGCATCTGCTTTACTCAACACATCGTTTCCTCTAGTTCACTTGTTTGCCAGCATACATTCTGTATTTGAATTCCTTGAAATCAAATCAAAACATCAAAGACTGGTGGATAGAAGACCATGTACCGACGTTTAATAGTAGTTCTGAACATTTTGTATATGGCATGTTGATAAGTTTAGTATCATTCGGTCTTCTCAAGTAGTTCACCTTCTGCTAGTGATCTATCTTCTATTATCTATCTATCTATCTATTATATACTAAAAGTCCATTAAACTTCCTACAAACGCTCTCAAGCCGCCACGTGGCGTTCCTACAAACACTCCTAAACCGCCACGTGGCAATGTCTAATCGCACCGTCGATTTTCACTTAAATCGGTGGACCCGATAATTTAGACCATTAGATTAGATTAGATGTATTTTATTTAATAAAAGGAAATGAATACCATACTGTTGGCCGGAAAAAAAACAAAAGCATAATTACTCCTTAAATACGTACGACTACAAAAACAATCAAGCTTACATAATGTTCATCGAAGAAAAAAAAGACCTACGCACAGACTTACTTAAAAAAAAAGCCAAAAGCAACATAAGTACATAGTACCATTGAAAAAATATAAAAACAACAAAGCCAAAAAAAATATACGTACGTAATACCATTGAAAAAAAAAATTGATGACCTTTAAAATATAATTTTCTATTATTTAAAGATAAAATATATCACTCTATAAATTTAAGCAAATATTATAGTTAATTTTCACTTAAATTAGTGAACCCAATAGTTTAGACCGTTAGATTAGATGTATTTTATTAAACTAATACCTTATTACTCTGTGTATGGGAGAATTATATAACTATTGGCTAGAAAAAGACAAAAGAAAAAACATAAGTAGCCTTTCTACAAATGCTACTAAATCGACATGTGGCATCCTATAAACGCTCCTAAGCCGCCACGTGGCACTCTAATAGTTAAAGATTTTTTTTTAAAAAAGCAAAACATCTAACCGTTAATTTTCATTAAATTTGGTGGACCCATTATTTGTAACCTTTAGATTTATCTATAAAAAAAATCTCCTTCTAATATCTGGGCCCACCTGGGCCTGTTGGCATGTACGTACCTACATAGTACCTACATACGTATGTTTCTTACGTCTACTCCCCCTCCCTCTTTTTTACCTATTTCTTTTCCTACTTTCACGCTTTTAGAAAAGCAAAAATTCTATGTTAAACAATTAAGCAAATGTAACATCTAAATCATAAAACTAATATTTGATCTGCTTATGTCTTTTGATTATTTTACATTTAAAAACTCATATCCACTTTAATTCAATTTTGAGAAGAAATATGTAACATTAATTAGGGGTACATCTTCTGACTTTTGCATGCCACTTAAGAAATTATACAATTATAAAAAATAATGATATATATTTTATCATCGTACAAAACTTCATAAAAAATAATAGATATAATATAAGTAAAATGAACATAACTTTGGGTAATATTAAAAAGAATTAGACCCCCATTCTAACACAACAAAAAGTCAAAATAACAGTTAGATTATTAGATTTGTAGTGTGCTCCTTACAAAAAAAATTATTTGCAGTGTTCATATTTTAATATCAACTATGAATATATTGTAGGTACAGACGAGTAAAAAAGATTGATTTTAATCAATCATTAAAGCTTTTGTTTTATTTTTAGTTAATAAAGTAATAGCAGCTAAAACACTATAACTGATAATAATTATTATAATTATATGCATACATACTCTCTCCCCTTCGACTATCTCTTCCTCTCTCCCATTCAATTATTTGGTCTTCTAAATTTTAACTGATTAATCAAAATGATTAATAATTAGAAAACTAAATAATTAAATTTTTTAAGTTATATCTAACCCACTTTTAGTTTACTTGAATTTGTTTTTTTATAATTAAATATATAATTCAAGATCTGTATTACCCATATTTTATGCTATTAAAATAAAAGTTTGTCATTTTAACATATACCCCTATCCTTTACAAGTACCTAAATAGAAAAAATATCAGAACATTATAAAATATAATAATAAGTATTATATAACCTTAAATCATTGTATATCCTCTGCAATGCACTTAAGATGTCATGTGTTACATCTTAAATAAAAATAAAAACTAGAAATTATAGGAAAAAAACATCTGACTATCAGTTTTCACTTAAATAGGTGGATCCATTATTTTAAAACAATTGATATACTTTTAGAACAATCCTATCCCTCCATGTGTTAGTCGGATATTAGAAATTATGAGAAAAAAATGGATCATCGGTTTCACTTCAATTATTTTAAAAAGGAAAAAGTATGAATTACACCACCGAACTATCGCGATCGACCAAATTAAACCCCTAAACCCAAAAACCAAACATCACTCACCCTGACCTTTCAATACTTTACAAATTACCCCCTCGACCCAATCCAGAGCAATTTTGTCCTACATGGCGTACGCATGACAATCCAGTCAATATTTTCTTTTTTTAATGGTGGGCCCACCAGTCATATATACTTTCTCACCTCCTCTTTCCCCTCGTCCCCCCTCTCTCTCCATCTCTCTCGGTGCACATGGCGGCGCGTGGCGCGCGGTCGGTCGGCGGCAACGCACGGCCCATGTTTAAGTGCTTAGATGTTAATGACCTTCCATCTATGCTATATCATGGCATTACGAGTTTCTCAATATATTATTACATATATAAAACACATAGTTGGATAAAAACTTATATATGCTACTATTAACTTTAAATTTAGGACTCATGTTGACTAGGTATTTTTTTAGAAAAAACACTGTAGATCACATATAGTAATAGGGAAGCGAGCTGTACAATATGTATATCTCCTACATACTTATTGACACGGTTTTTTTTCTAGAAAATGAAGAATTAGTGATAATCGCTTATAGTAATAAAGTAAATATTATATAGTTCAAACCTTACAAATATCATGTAAAAAAATTATATGAGCAATGCAGATGAAGAAAATTTATAAAGAAATTGTACTTTTTCAAGTACGAAATGTGTCTCGATATCCATCTTACAAGTTAGTCAAACCTATCCTACTTTGCATGCCTGCGCAATGCGCGGGCTATCTTCCTAGTTCTATTAAATGTACTGTTAAAGAGAAGGTTCTGTTGTAACAAACTTAACATAATTTCTTCCATTTTCTAATGCAGGACTGAACGATCTTTTTGGCCACTACATGGAAGCATGGAGGTCATGGTACTCGGATCTCAGGCGAGACAGAGCATCATAAAACCAGATTCAGGCCGGTCCGTTGTAAACAAAATTCTTGTAGGCAGATAAACTCATTTGTTGATGCATGGTTAGGGATTTTTGAGTTATACAAGATGTCACAAAAACAAAGGCTAGTGCTGGCCTTTGATTGATTGTATTTACTCAGTGCAAGAAATTGGAAAGTCGTTTCGTCAATAATACTAGGATACCTGATTGTCGATTTGTTTAACGAGTCACCTGCTGCTGGCAACGCATTCTTTGAATTTGTTCCCTCTTTTCTTTTCGTCGTTCCCTTTGTGATCAGGTGTCAGGACCGGGCGCTCCAATTAATAGACTGTTAATTCGTTAACAGAAAAGAGAATCAGACTAAGGTTAGAAACTTCTTTTATGCATGTAAACGAGATGACTTAGGTGGTGTTTAGGAAGGCACGAAAGCATAAGTCCCTTCCATAGAGACTAAAATTTTTATGAGTTTAGTCCCTCCTTTCCAAACACCACCTTATTACTTTCTTGGATGAGAATGTAAGTATTTTTTATATAGGCATGGGTACTTAAAAAAAAAAAGGTAGATAGAGATAATTAGAGAATGATTGCGATTGGAGATTGGAGAAGAAAATGTAAGTGAAGAGAATAATTGTGATTTGTTTAGAAGAAATGATATGTGGAGAAATAGCTTTATTTTAGAACAGATTAGTGTGCTACAAAGAGTTACTTTTTTTAGTGGAAACTATTAGCAAAATTTATTCAACTAGGATATCCAGCTTAGTCATCCGTCAAACAGAAAAAAAAAAGTTTCGGAGGAACCTAAACCAAAGTCGTAAAGCACCTTCTTTAGCTAGCCTATGAGCAACTTTATTTGTTGACCGCCAAATAGTTACATTTTGCGATGTAGGTAGTAGCACATAATTAATTAATTATTATTTTAAAAACTTCAAAATAAATCAATACAATTTTAAAGAAAAAAGTATTTTTTTTAAAAAAAAACACACCGTTTAAAAATTGTGCCCATGAAGAAAAAGGGAGTAGAAGTTGACAACACGTACTAAGCTTCCCAGCAAGAGTCAGCTGGAATGCGGTCAATGTGACAGGACCATAAATAAAGAGGTTACATAATTGCATTTGTGTTTTCTGCTGAAATTGTTTTCCATGTCGATAATATATACAATGTATATTTCTTTCCATGTAGCAAAATTCGGTGCAACCAATCGGCATCAGCAGTGCAAAGGCAGTTCATTCCCCTTGTTCCTGACTATACCATCATGTAGGTACAGTAATTTCACATGATATAGACAATGAGTATAGAGAATCAAGCAGGGTAATGTAACACTCATCAATCATCAGACAAATAGTATTAGAACATTTGACTAGTCATTGACCACAAACACATATGGTAACTTCCAACAAGAGGCATTTGATGTCCTCCGATTTATGGATGAGACAACATATGTAATGCTTGAAATGGGTAAAATCCATTAAATCAATCCGCAATAGTAACTAATAGCAGAGCAATCAACAACCAACTAAATTCCTTCATCATTTTGTTGGCTCAGTGAAGAACTTGTTGATAGCTGGCATGATCTCAGGGGTCTTGTCGCGCACATAGTTTCTTAGCCCATGCTCTGCGTAGCGCCTTCCCTCCTCATGGTTCTCGAGCACTCCAGCTGCCCTCCCTACCTTGTTAACCCTGAATAAAAGCATTTTATTATTTCAGGCTTACACTTCATTGTTGACAAAATAAGCATCAGCCGCCGAGGGTTCGAATTATCACCATAATCAATGTTACCCTTGAAACCCAAGGGTTTAATTATCCATCAAAATTCACTATATAAGACAATGGTTAATACACTACGACTTCCTGTCTATGACACAATAAGATTTAAGCACTAATAAATCCTGCTTGGTTTAAACTGGAATTGAATTATGCTTGGAGCCGGTTTGGAGCAGCGAAAGATTAACACCAACATGTCATGAGTTGAACATACTAATAACACATAAGCTCATAGTGAAGACAGATTCCACACACACGCCGACACGAAATACATTGTGTCTAGCCATGTTAGCAACTCTTTGGTCTATGCTATCATGCCCAAGACGCATAGAAATTTACAATATACTTATCATCATAATCACCACGCTTTCTGTAAAAGACATTCTTAACGTCATGACACCGTACCAACTACTCCACCTCTATAAAACAAACAAGAAAAAAAATATGTAAAGAGTACATTTTCCCAAGCAAATTGACACATGGCAAGCTCATCCTTATGTTTCTCTACCAGCTCAGGTACAGGTTTCTTAAATTGTCTAATAACAAACCCTAATTAAACAAAAAAAAAAGGACACATCACACATGATATACCCACTCCTTGGCTCCTTGCCCCGTAAAATACTAAAATTCACCATCACAAAATTTCACCTGAGAAATACTAGCATGTCAATCAATCAAGCAAGGTAAGTCAACGCTCAGCGCCAGGTAATAGGCTCAAATCGTAAAGAAATCGATGACGGTAAGCTACAGTAAGTCCACCACTAGAACAGGCTTATCAAGCACAGTAGATCTCTCCTCCAACGAGCAAAGCAAAAAATAAAAATAAATAAAAATAAAAAATCAAGCAAGCAAGCAAGCAAAGAGGGCAGGAACACGCAGTGGCGGAGATCCGGACCTGACTTCGGGGTTGCCGGTGATGTTGCGGAAGAGCTGGAAGCCGCAGATGCCGACGGCCACGCCCATCGCCGCGAACAGCGGGTACACCTGAGACACGCGCGCCTCCGGGTGAGCGAGCGAGCAGCTAAGCGCAAAGAGCAAGAAGAGAGGAGTAGACGCGTGTGGGAGCTTGGCTCACCTCCGGTCGGACCCAGCGGCTGGAGGCCATCGTCGGCGTCGGCGGCGGCGGAGAGAGAGAGAGAGGGGAAAGTGGAAGGCGACGGTAGGAGAGAGAGAGAGGAAGTGGACGGAGTGGGTGCAGAGCGGCTTTTATCACAGTGACGCAGTGTGGTTCGCTTGGCGAGTTTGGAGGTGACCTGTATGGAATGACGAAAATGCCCCTCACCCGTTTCGTTTGGGGGCTTTCTTCCTTTGCTGCTGCGGTGCTGCCCACTGTTTTCCATGAAGCTGTGAGCCCGGTGTACCACCGTCGGCGTGCTATATAATCAAACCAAACCTACGATCAACTTAATATCTATTGTATCTTCTCGCTTTAAATTTCAATTCAACTCACCTTTTATGGATCTACCGCATGTAATTGAATCCAGCTATCATAATAGATGTGTAAAATACCTTGGTATAGTGGAATATGCTTGTGGTTGCAGAGGAATGCTCCGGTGCAATCTACTTGCAGTATTCTACTCCAAGTAGAATTGATCTCGACCGTTTATTTTAAAGGGCAGGTAAGTAATCTCCTAATATTGTTTAGGGGTAATTTTGGCATGGATTATTTTCTTCTGTTCGATCGCATCAGGTCGGACTCCGCATCGCATCGCATCAGGTCCGACTCCGTTGCACGCAGTCTCGTCGCTATTCCTCCCCCGGCGTCGCCGCCTTGTCCACCCCCTCCGTCGCCGTCCGTATCCCCCGTCCTCTCAGTCGCCGCCTTGTCCGCCTCCTCAGTCGCCGTCTGCCTCCCCCGCCCTCGCTGCCTTCTCCGCTCCCTCCGTCCCCGTACGTTTCCCCTGCCCTCTCCGTCGCCGTCCGTTGGCCCCGCCCTCTCCACCTCCGGCACCGTTGGCGTCTCCTCCCCCTTCAGTGCCCTTGCCTCCTCCGTCGTCTTCCTACCGCGCGTGGCATCAGGTCGGAGGCAGGCACCGGCAGGCGGCGGCGCGGCCGGCAGCTAGTCCTCCCGGCAAGCGGCGTCGCGGCCGGTGGCGCGGCGCGTCGCATCTGTCCGACGCAAGCACCGGCAAGCGGCGGCGCGGTGAAATCCTCAGGTGTCCACTCCTCCCCCCTCCCCCACCACCTGACTTTCTGTTCCCCTTCCTCTCCTCAGTGTTGAACTTGTCTGAATTTTTCCTCTACAAATACATATACTTACTTGTAAATGACTGTGTATACTAGCTTGTAACTATACTAGAGAATCTACATTTGCGGATGTTAAATTGAATAGGAGATTTATTAAATCGATTTTGTATGTTGAGTTGTAAGCATGAACGATAAAACTGAACAATAATTTTGGTCTTAAGCTGCAAATGAAATACACCTGTCACTTGAAATTCCACTCAAAACAGTTTGCTGAAATTGATGTGTTACTAATATAAGTCCAGCATTAAACCTCAGCAAAGGTGGCAAGTTAAATCATATCTTGTGCAATTGATCTTTGATCTTTTCTACCAAATGATTGCCTTGTCAACTGGTTAAAGCATCCAGCATTTTCTGCTAGTTCATCAGTAGTACTAATAGTACATTGAATTAATTTATTAGTGCATGCCTTAGTTCTTTTATCATACATACAAAATTTGCAGCCATTGTGGGGGAACTGTAGTAATTGTTCTAAACTCAATAGTTTAGAGTGGCATTGTGAGATGGATACTCTTTTATAGCAGATTAAACATGTCTTCCTGAATTTGGCCATCTCTGCATCTGCATTACACTCTGAAACTGAGGCACTTAATTTATTTTAGATGTGTACAGAGGCAAATAAGCTGAAATGCTTTAGAACTATAAAAGAATTCTTTGTCAGAAACATTACAGAAATACGGTATTGAGCTTGATTTAATCCATTTTCAGAAAATTACAGAATTGAGCTGCCTCCTGTGTCCTAACTTGACTTGTTGCTGCTTGGTTTCTGAAAATAGGTCCTGGATGATGATCATGGAGCTGTGGTTTACCCTGTCAGGAGGTCAGTAGCTCCTCCTGCAGTTCAGCGTTGGGGCGACATCCCTGGGCAGCATAACTGCGGCGCACCTGGTTGCCCTGAGATGATTCCGGCGCAAGCACAGTTCTGTTGTTTGCGTTGCAAGGCTGCAGTTCATTGCTGCTTATTTATTTTTAAAGGAGTGTAATGAACAAATAAATTTAGTTGCCTTTTTAAATATTAGGATTAAATGATCTACAACTGGAATGGTGACTTCATTTTGTGATGCTTGTGTGATGCTTTAATGGTGCTGTTTGCTGGAATGATGCTATTGTTGATGCTGGAATGATACTGCTACTATTGGAAATTGTGCTGCTGCTAGAACTGCACTGTTGTTGCTGGAATGAAACTGAATTGCTGTTGTTGGAATGAAACTGAACTGCTGGTGCTGCTGAAACTGTAATGCTGCTGCTGCTGCTGCTGCTGAAACTGGTTGTTTTTTCATGCAGAGCCTACCAGATCAATGAGAATGCACATGCTGCTGGAGGACTCATTCTGTCCATATTTTTCTAGTTCCAACTTCGAATTGCGACAGCTCTATTCGGAGTCTCGAAGCCACCAAAAAGGATTGGTGGTGGGAGATTTGGCATCCTCAGCCATCAGATCTCCAGAAGATGCTGATTCAGGAGCGAAGCAAACCATAGGAACAGTTTCAGGGGGAACATGTCGTCCCCAAGAAAGAATGATACTGACACATCATTTTGTTCTCCGTAGCATCCGATTTTGATACAACATTAACTTACACATTTGACAGTTTGACAGGATGTAAGATGTTGCATTGAGCAGCTTCTTTACGAAAGATTTTGCAGTGCAGAAGCACAAAGGTGCTTCGTCGTGGTACGAGATGTTTCTTTAAACTCGCAGAAAGTACTTATCATAAAAAAAGCATGGTTTTTCAATCGACCGCGCGCATATATTATAGCAGAACGTTATTTTTTTTACAAAAGAAAGAAGAAGTCCCCGCATCTGACATCGTTGAATAACCAGATTGAGTATCATTTAATAAATAATAGATAGAGTTTAATATTAAAAAATTTAACACCTAGCTTATTCGAAATGAACATCTGACAAGACAAACTAAGAATCTCCAAAATAAAACATCTCAATGATAAATGAACATCTTAGAATTTAATGAAAGAATATCCTCCCAATGCAAAGCTGAACATCTTAGATTTCTTCGGAGATGGCCTGTGCATGATTCCGAAATTTGTTGGATGGAGAGATGTAAAGAATCGCTGCTAGCTTTCTTCTGTATTCATCGATGTCTTCCTGCATAGATCACAACTATATGTTATCTTTCTTATTTTCTACAAATGTCCTTCTGTCATAATCAAACTTTTTGTTTGCTATGATGGGCCTACCATCCAGTCCGCGTACTCATATTTCATATTTGTATCCATTTGAGAAGGAGCGGTATATGAAACCTTACGCTTCGGGGTGACTCAGGGCAGTAAGCAGTCAACGTCACCGACGTGCATCTGCTTCAACGTCGCACCTGAACACCGAGAACCCCTTTGCCGGCATGTGGTTCAGAGTAAGTAAGTAAAAATGCTGTTAACATTAACCGTTCTGTTCTGAAATAAACAATGTATTTACTTAACCAAAACGAGCAATATAATTGGTGAAAAGGCAACCAAAGTTCAAAGGAAAGAGACACCACACATCATCTACTCGTCATTAATTGATGGTGGCATAACAATGCCAATGCAAATATAGCCACTAGTAACATCCACCCATTACAAAGCCCCCACAACAGGTGAACATTAGTTTCATTCAGAAAGATGACAACTTTAGACATCATAATTCAATAGCACAACATTGCGCGCCAAATCCAATTGGTACGACGAAGCAGCCACACGTACCTTCCAAGATGGCTTCGCGCACTTGCTCTTGCTCCTTGCAAATACCGAATGCTCCCACCAGCATCCCAATGCCATGGCACCTCGGAGCACCCAGTAAGCATGCCTCTCTCGGGATCGCCAACGCCATGGTGGAGTTGTTCAGATATAGATGGATCATCTCATCCTTCATGCTACAGATTAATAGGAAACAGTAGCCTTGGAAATCAAATCAAAATTTAAGAAAAACAAACAACTTGAGATTGAAAGTTGAGGGGCAGCATTAGGGGAGCGCATCTTACTGCAAATTTCCGGGCATTACCTTCCGCTATTCTCCAATGGCGAGTCTTCCTCCTGCTCCGAAGGAGGTGCTTGAGGCAGCATGGGGACGAAGGGGAGCCAGGCGTGCATTGCCATTGGATCCAGAGGCTGCGTCCTCCGCTTGTGGGCGATGGATTGGGGGCTCTCCCACGCGGCTGCAGGAGCGATGGCGGGCGGAGATGGACGGGGCTAGAGCCGAGCGTGGGGGAGGAGGCCGACGGCGAGTAAGGGGATAGCGAGGAGGAGGAAGGCTCGGCGGCGGCGAGTGGCACGGTGCTGGGGTCTGAGGTGGAACTCGCCAGAAGGTGTGCCGACGCGGGTAGCGGCGGGATAGGGCGGAGCTCTGGAGATCCCAGACGGAGATGCGGGATCGCCGAGAGGAGTGGAGAAGGGGGAGGCGGTTGATGGGGAGGAGGACGTGGCGGCGGTGGCGGGTGGAGGTGACGCGGCGGAGAGGGCTGGTGGCGAGGAGAACGTGGCGGCAGTGACGGGTGGAGGCGCGACGACGTGAGGCGACTCGCTGGAGAAGGGGGCGGGGGAGGAGGACGGCGACCGAGGGGGCTCACAAGGCGGCGTGGAGACGCGTGCGGGGGAGAAGGCGGCGATGGCGGGGAGACGGGCTTCGACGGAGGGAGCGGAGAAGGCAACGGCGCTGGAGGGGGAGGAGACGCCAGGACGGGCGACAGAGGCGGCGAGGGAGATGGGCGGCGACGGAGGCGGGGATGGAGGGGAATGGCGTCGGGATGGAGTGAAATGGCGACGATGCGATACGAATCCATAGGATAGGGATAGGGTGAGTAAGAGACTGATAATATATGATAATACCCCTACGCGAATTATTTTTCTTGGACGAAAACACCCCTTCACATTTCTACTCCCACTAATTCTGGTGGGAGTAGAACTAGATCTTAACCCTTCAATTAAATATGATCAATGGCCCAGATTACTTTCTACTCTGAGTAGAAAGCACCGGAGTGGGACTCGGTGGTTGCACACCTTATACCCAAACAACCATTTCTATACGGTACGAGTTGTAGTCCAATATAGTGCTCTGAACAATATATTTTCTTTACGAGATGATGATGTGTGTCATCTTCTACGATTTCTACCCTCCAACTCACCTTGCATCTGACATTGAGATATGAACTAATGAACCATGTTTATAACTGATGGCTTATAATGCTCCCCAAAAAATGTTAATTTAATGCAACACTAAGCAAATGTTGATAGTTTTGTAAAATTAAAAGAACAGTAGTTTTCGTGAAATTTTCTCATAGTCTGTGACATAGTTGGTCTATCTACATTAATTAAAACATATGCTCGACAACTTTACGCGTGATGATAAAAGATAGGAGCCTTAATACAGCTACTAAAATTATCACGATAACTACTCAATAATATGTGTTCAATACATACTGTTACTATTACTATGTTGTTAAATCCCTAATTAAAAGCAGTCAACATTAAAACAAACCACCTATAAATTATCACGCGGCTTAGCATTACATACCATCTCCTCCAACTGATATCGCTCATTTTTACATTACTACTCACAAACCTTTACCTAATAGCTCGTGCTAAGCTTTATCAATCTAAAATCAAAATCCTTAACCATGTAACATAATTTCGATTGTATATTTATATTTAACGTGGTACTATTAAATCTACACGTCCATGACCATGACTGGTGGTTTTGAACTTTTGATTTTTGAAGGTGGGGGCAGTAGGGGCACTTCAGTCATTCACGCACATTCATCCCGTGACCTTTGTTCCACGCCCATCATCCGTGCCGAAAAGCATATTCCAATGCACGGAGCCAACTATGCAACAAAATGCTCGTAACAAGTCGGCTGCCATTTGTTGTGGGCGGCGAGCCGGCGACAAAATTTATTTCACGATGAGTGCAGTGAGACGCTACCGGGAATTTCTTTTTTTTTTTCAACTAAAAATCGTCCGGATTTGTTTGGGAAAAAGTGATTTATTTTTGTTTAGGTCTGCGTCAGCGTTATCTCTAAGGTCAACTTGCTCGCCTCGTTCCGGCTCTATGGCCTCTGCATCCGGCCAAAGCAGTTTTATAGTAATAATATATTTTTTTTTCTTACGTATGATAGATGTCTCAGTGTGCATGTCCAAGAAGGTATATGTATTCTCAACTTTTTATCGAAAAGAAATTGTGACTCTCCAACTGCTGCTGAAGAACGGCACCGTAAAATGACGTATTCGTTCATTTGATGAGACTCGTGAAAGGCTAGTTTGGCTTGTTAATTCGGTTGTTCAATCTTAACAAAAAAAAATCAGGCAGATCAGACGGAGTAGAAACTGTTAATGGCTCATTAATTCAGTTGTTTAATCTGAACAAAAAGCAGTGTTGTACTGGCAAAGTGAGCGCACCTAGTTAGATTTCTTATGGTGGATCCGATTTACCTGGATTCAAGTTCTAAAATTTATATGAGTGTTTGTATTTACGACTAAAATTTATGTGATGTTTTTGTCGACATCAAGATGTTTATGATGACTTTGTGAATTTTAAGATACACCGATCCATTTTTTAGAGGTGCTTGTAAAAATAAGATGTGTGTTCGTAGAGATAAGTGTGCGTTTGTAACTTGTTTCTAAATAAACAAAAAAATGTTGGACTGTTGGTAGCCTCTTTGTCAAATCAAACGACCACGAATTTGACCCACGAATGTCCACAACGAATACGGCCCAATTTTCCGTAAATTAATTACACCCATGAATTCAATCGGCCTACCTATTCTCAATTGACGAATTCGAACCACCAAAAGCTAAGAACAAATTCAGACCTCTTAATTCAAATCAGTCCACAAATGAATTAAGCCGACGTCTGATTCATCACTAAATTTAGCCCACCAAATGTCACGAATTAATTTGGCCCACCAAATTCCCATCAATGGATTCAGCCCACCAATGAATTTGGCTCACTTCGTATGGATTTGGCAGTATGGACGTGGTAAATAAATAAAAAAATTATGAGGCCCACATGTAAGTGAGAAAAAAAATGTGAAACCACACTACTTTTTCCTTTTCTTTTCTCCTTTCTTTTTCCTCTTTTCTACTCCTCTCCGAAGGCCGGCGGCGGCGGAGGGAGCCTGAGAGAGAGGGGGCGGCGGGCGGAGCGGCCGCTGGCGAGCGCGGCAGTGGGCGGCTGGAGGGGGGTGAGGCGGTCGGTGAGCCTGGGAGGGAGGAAAGCGGGCGGCGGCAGGCGGAGCAGCAGCGCGGCGGCGAGCGCGAGCGGCAAGCGAGCGCGTGGCGAGCGAGCGCTGCGGCGTGCCGCCGTGCCGGAACTCGTGCCGACGGGTCTCACCCAGGCCGCACCACACGTGGGAGCAGAGGCGGAGCTCGCTGTCGCTGTCGGTCTTTGCCCGCTGCCCGAAGTCGGAGAGGAGCGGGCAGCCACCGATGGCGCCGCCGCCAGCGAGGGGGAGGGCGGCGAAGGAGCGGTGTGACACTGCGGCGGCCCTTGGGGGGGAGAATGGCATGGCGTAGAGGAAGGTCGGGATGCGGCAGTTCTGTTCTTGTCCCTGGTGTGTGAGTAGTTGCTGTTTCAGACATGAAGGCAGCTGTGGGGAACAAGAAAAGCAAGGGCACTTTCTGCGCCTTCTGCCACCCTTCTCTGCTCCTGCTCATCGTGGCAATCCAGTTCTTGATGATTTACTCACCAACCCTTGATCAGTACATGGTGATGCTAACCACAGGTTGTTGATTCTGAGTCTTTTTTGGAGAAAAGATTCTGATTTTGTTTTTGTTCGATGAAATTATTAATGCAGATGAGTTCATCCCGGAGCCTCACCTGCGATGTGACTTCAGTGACAATAAATCCGACGTGTACGAGATGGAGGGCGCCATCCGCATCCTCAGCCGCGAGTTGGAGGTATTCCTGGTGGCGCCTCGCCTCGCCTCCATCTCCGGCCGCAGCGGCGTGAACACGACGGGCTTGGACGCGAACGCGACGAGGTGGAAGATCCAGCCGTACACCCACAAGGGCGAGTCCCGCGTGATGCCTTCCATCACGGAGGTGACGTTGCGACTGGTGACCGTTGACGAGGCGCCGCCGTGCGACGAGTGGCACGACGTGCCGGTGATCGTGTACTCCAACGGCGGTTACTGCAGCAACTAGCCAACTACTACCACCACCTCGCCTCCCTCCGAGCGGCAGCAGCTACCTTGTCTCCCTCCGTGCTCGCCCGTCACCGCCCGCCTGTGGCCTGCTCCACCCGCCGTCCTCTCAGGTTCGGGGGGAAGAAGAGAAGAGAAGAGAGAACAAATAAAAGAGAAGAAGAAAATAAAAAGAAAAGAGGAGAGGAGAGGACACTGACATGTGGATCCCACTATATGCCATGTCAGCCAAACCAGGAAAAAAATAGATCAATACTGCCTAACGAACTTTTTTTTTTTTTTACGGTTTTGTATAATTTAGGGGCGGAGATTTTTGGTTTTGTGGTTAAAAGACCTCAAAAAATCTCGTTAAGTTGAGGGACCTTCGGTGATCTTATTCCTTCTCATAAACAAATTAGGCCCACAAGTGAATTTGGCCCACTTCATTCTCGTCAACAAAAAGTGGCCCACGAGTGAATACATTTGACCGCCGCTGATCAGAGAATTCAACCCATAAATGAATTTGGCCTACTTAATTCTCATCGATGAATTCCGCCCACACATAAATCTGGGCCACCTTATTTCGATAACCAATTTCGGCCCATAGTTGTATTCGGCCCACTTAATTCCCCGAACTGTTCTCTCCGGCACGCGGCGGAGCGGGTTGCTGCCGACAGCTCGACAGGTGTTCGATCAAATTCGCGCCCGGAGACCGAGACTCTGAGAGCGACGGCTCGCTGCCGGCGAACGGGACGCCGCCATGTGCCCCCCGGGCCGTGAGCTCCCACCTCCCGCTGGCTTTCCCCGCCCTCCCCCCCCACCCCCCCACAAGGAGCCACCTGTGCGCCATGCTCGCTTTCTTTAATGGCAAAGCGAGCCTAGTCACGGAGGCGAACGCGAAGCCGAGCCCCACACCGCGCCACGCGGCCCGCTCCGCCGCGCGACACCGCGACGCCACCACCCCATCATCCGCTCCACCGCGGCGAGCACCGCGCGCTGCTGCTGCTGCGTCCAAAGTCCAAGCTCCCAAACCAAACCTGCGCGTGCCCAATCGATCGGCGCCATGGCCGCGGCCGTCGTCCTCCTCCGCCGCCTGCGCGGCGTCACGGCGGCGCCCCGGCGCGCGGCGGCGGCGCTGCCCCTGACCACGAGCGTCCGGGGTGTCTCCGATTCGACGGAGCCGCTCACCATCGAGACCTCGGTCCCCTACAAGTCCCACATCGTGGACCCGCCCCCGCGCGAGGTGGCCACCACGGCGCGCGAGCTCGCCACCTTCTTCCGCGACATGTCCGCCATGCGCCGCGCGGAGATCGCGGCGGACTCGCTGTACAAGGCGAAGCTGATCCGCGGCTTCTGCCACCTCTACGACGGACAGGAGGCCGTCGCGGTGGGCATGGAGGCGGCCACCACCCGCGCCGACGCCATCATCACGGCCTACCGCGACCACTGCGCCTACCTCGCCCGCGGCGGCGACCTCGCCGCCCTCTTCGCCGAGCTCATGGGCCGCCGCGGCGGGTGCTCCAGGGGGAAAGGCGGGTCGATGCACCTGTACAAGAAGGACGCCAACTTCTATGGCGGCCATGGCATCGTGGGCGCGCAGGTGCCGCTCGGATGCGGCCTCGCGTTCGCGCAGAGGTACAGGAAGGAGGCCGCCGTCACGTTCGACCTCTACGGCGACGGCGCCGCCAACCAGGGGCAGCTGTTCGAGGCGCTCAACATGGCGGCGCTCTGGAAGCTGCCCGTCGTGCTCGTCTGCGAGAACAACCACTGTGAGTTGGAATTCGGTTCAATCTTTGGGATTGATTTTGCTTGCATTGTTCGTTGATCGCTGGATGAATTGCGGATGGTTTGATTTGGTCTGTTTGATTTTAATTTGTTTGCACAGATGGGATGGGGACGGCGGAATGGAGGGCATCGAAAAGCCCCGCATACTACAAACGCGGCGACTATGTGCCAGGATTGAAGGTAACTAAATACTTCTCCGTCTCATTTAAGCGCAGTTGTGAATTTTCGTACCCAATATTTAACGTCTGTTTTATTTGAATTTTTTTTATGAGTAGTAGTTGTTTGAACTCTTTCTGGCTGATGGAGAGTTGATCTGTTGATGTGACAATGAGAACTGAGCTGAACATAATTGACCAGTAAATTTGAGTGCAACATCCTTCTGGACTCTGATCACCATACTCTGTGATCTAGTTGTGGGTTCCGGGGTTGTTTGGTTCACTGCCACAAATCGTCATGCCACATATTCGAGTACTAGATGTGCCAAACTTTCTTAGGTTGGTGTTTGGTTTGCTATAACTATGATTTGCCACACTTCATTAACTCGCTGGCTCACATGTCGTAGGCTCATTTTTAAGTCACATCTTACCACACTTGTGGCCAACCGCCAACGATTACTTTGTGTGGCTTGCCACACCTACGGCAAGTTGGGTTGCAGTTATTTTTACTGCGATTAGCTTGCATGCAAGAAGTTATGGGGATATGCAGGCATGGAGGTGGCCGTGTTGGTGCTCTTGTTTGTATCGTTGTGATGATGGTTATGGTACCTTGTGTTTGGTGCAGGTCGATGGTATGGATGTTCTTGCAGTCAAACAAGCTTGTAAATTTGCCAAGCAACATGCTCTTGAAAATGGACCGATTGTAAGTGAATTTCCTGATTGCCATTTCGACTGTGCACATTATGGACATTTCTGGATCTCTCAGGGGTTGGGCTGTGCTGAAATACACTGCTGGTAGTGTGGTTTAGCTCATATTGTTCGATAGATTCAGTGCCGCTAATCAGTAGAAAACACAATCCTGCTCTTGGAGATGCATGTAACTTTTCTATATCCTCTCGGTGTTGTAGATTCTTGAGATGGACACCTACAGATACCACGGACACTCTATGTCAGATCCAGGGAGCACTTACCGCACCAGAGATGAAATTGCAGGCATAAGACAGGTCAGGAATCAGGATGGCCGGCCATGAGCTCTCGAGTCTCGACTCAAAACTTAATTTACACCGAAGACATTCATTCTGAGTAAGTTGTTTGTGTTATGTTACCAACAGGAGCGCGATCCAATTGAAAGGGTTAGGAAGCTACTACTGGCCCATGACTTTGCAACCACACAAGAACTCAAGGTATACTATTGTGGTACATATAAATAGTATCACAAAGCAATAATGCAAGACGTAGCATGCTGTTTTTCTTTGATTCAAGGCAGAGAAATCAGCTGTATATTTTAGTTCATTATGAGATACAAAAGAGAAGCACAAACCGACACAAAAATAGTGTATCCTTGCATGAGATTAGCTTTGGCGGAAAACATAAACACAGAAATCCTAAGTCAAATCTACTATGATGTTTCTTCTTAGGACATGGAGAAAGAAATAAGGAAGCAAGTCGACACTGCCATCGCGAAAGCAAAGGTCTGAATTGCAGTTATATATGTCCTCAAAAATGTTTCGTTCATTCGAACTACTTGTGCTTATGAATCATGGCACGTTCAATACTGCAGGAAAGTCCAATGCCCGATCCATCTGAGCTCTTTACAAATGTATATGTTAATGACTGCGGTTTGGAGGTAAGCAGATGCCAAGAGCAATTCATTCAGAATTCCATATATCTTAGTAATTTCTCGTGCATGCAAATGTTATGGAACTGTTTTCCTAAAGTTTAAATATCTCATTTGATTTAAATATACTACCTCCGTTTTTTAATAGATGACGCCGTTGACTTTTTCTCACATGTTTGACCATTCGTCTTATTCAAAAAATTTACGTAATTATAATTTATTTTGTTATGAGTTGTTTTATCACTCATAGTACTTTAAGTGTGATTTATATCTTATACATTTACACAAAATTTTTGAATAAGACGAATGGTCAAACATGTGAGAAAAAGTCAACGGCGTCATCTATTAAAAAACGGAGGGAGTATATCCCAGAATATATCAGCAATCCTAACTAATCTTGTATTCCATGATGCAGTCATTTGGTGTGGACAGGAAGGTGGTGAGAACTGTACTTCCCTAGGGTAGCCGACGGCCACCAGAATCTTGGCTGCCTTGTGCTGTAGTTACATATACAAGAGGAGAAATAATTAATAATACAGGTCAAGGCATCCTTAGTGTTAATCTTCCTTTTTCTGTCACTAAATAAATTATGTATAGGTGAATCAACTGCCGGAATTAATCCTGTCATTTCATCGTCTTGTGTGATTCACAACTGCGAGTGCGACCTTCGGCAATATGCAGACGTAATATTCCCTTGGGGGGGTCATGAAAATTGTCAATGCTCAGGTGAATGTTGGCGTTGTGCACTTGTGCTTATATGTTGACCCGCTGTTTTGATGCATCTCCATGAAGTTCTCAAGCTAGGATGCGTTTCCCTGGTACTGTATACTCGAGCTATACGTGGACTAAGGGATCTAAAGTAAACTCATTCCTCATCTAGCATTGCAGCGTTGGGAATGGGCCTCCCAACCATATGAGCTAAATAGCAGGCCGAGAATTCACGGCCCACGTCGTGCGCAGCCCATCAATCTCGCGCTGCAGCGGCAACGGCCTTCTTGTGCTTGGTGCAGCGACACGACAAACGTCGTGGAATCGCATCGCAAATCGCAAGACGACGAACGAGGAGCTTAGCTAACGGGCGGCAGGATCAGCGATGTAGTAGCCGTTGGTGAGCGACAGCTAATAGCCCTAGCTAGCCAGCCACCGTCGTCTGCCATTCCGCCGTTCAAATCAGTACAGTACTATACTTCTCCTAACCGAAGAAGAAGAAGAAGAAGAAGGCGTCGTACGGCGAGAGAGATCGAGAGGTTGGGCGAGGAATTCAATGGGATGTCGTGGCCCAAACGCGTTACGTGCCCGGTCCGTCCTTCCTCCCATCCTCCTCGTCTCAACGGTGCTCAGGTCCGTCCGCCGGCGGGGATGATCGTTCCATCGGTGCCCACGAGAAGAGACGGTGCATTCACTTTATCATCCTTTTTAGTCCTGCCGTATTACCTCCCGTCCAAAAAAAAAAAACCTACTTTTAGATTACAATCCAAACATACATTATGTCCATATTCAAATCCAGAATTAGGCTTTTTTACCGAGGGAGTATTTCATAAAAATGAAATATTTTATAACTTTTATATAGGTGATCCAACATATATATTTTTTAAAAATATAAGTTAGAAGTATAAATTGATTAGATTTACACAGCCTAGCTAGTAGGATAATGAACTAAACATTATCTCACATCTTTACTAAAGTTTGGGAATTTTAAAACTTTGTTCTCATAGAGACGTAAATTTTTGGAAAAAACAAAATCAAACTAAGTACATCCAATACTATCAAAATTTTAAAAAATGTAAATGGTCACACACACACACACACAACACACACACACACACACACACACACACACACACACACACACACACACACACACATATATATATATATATATATATAGGCCATTTCTGACTAGGATGATGTCTATGGTATAAAATAAGCTGCCACCTCTGATAAAAAATAGGCAAAATTTGCTATAGGACATGAAAAAAACGCGTAATTGGCTAAGAGACACCGTAAAAATGTGACACGGCTGATTGACACTCTAAAAATTGTGTAATTGGTTATAGAACACCAGAGACAATATTTTATATTTTCCAGATCAAAAGAGGTGATAATATTTTTCAAATGGCAAGATTGCCCCTGCCATGGAGCGCCGCCTCCGCCAATTCATCAGATCGGATTGCCTCCGCACCTACCTCGCTCTCCGGCCTCCTCCTCCTCGGCGGCCACGTCACCCTCCTCCTCCTCGGCAGCCGACGAAAGGTCCACGGCCAGAGGGGAGTCGTGATGGAAAGCCTGCATATGTAGTACTTGGTTGTAGTGTAGAATAAAAAGAGGAAGAAAAGAAGCCAACAAGGAAAAGAACTCACGAATCCCCATCCGCTCTTTGTGAACTCCTGCCCCACTGTCCTGAACTGGCAGTTGATGGAGAGGAAGAGCTCCACGTATGGCAGCTCGTCGACGATGGCCGCCACGATGCCGCTCTGCAGGGTGGAGGAGTAGTCGGTGATGGCGAGCTCCCAGAGGCGGGACTCGGGCACGCCCAGCTCCTGCATCAGGTAGCTCTTGGCGAAGGAGCCGACCTGGAAGCCGATGGGGTCGGAGCTGGCAATGAGGCCGTCCAGACCCTGGATGTCCGTGGACAGCTGCTGCACCGTGAGGATGGAGGTGAGGCTGGCCGTTGGTCCTCACTGAACGAGGAGATCCCGGCGCTGCTCGTCACCATGGCGTTGGTCCTCGCTGAATGAGGAGATCCCGGCGTTGGTCCTCGCCGTCGCCGGCAGTGATACCCCGGCGGAGCGCCGCCGCTTTTTTCGCCGCATGCCGAGCCGTCCCAGCTCAGGCCGTCGGCCGGCCGCGCGCTGTTCCTCTGCTCCGCCACGTGCGTGAGGAAGAAGGAGGATAGGAGAGAGATGTGGGCCCCACTTATGGTTAGTAAATAGTAATCACCCTACTAATTAGGAACAAATTAGTCCATGACGCGTGGGGCCTGGTGGTTAAAAACCTATTAAAAATTAGATTAAACATACACTGTCCATGACACATGGGACCCACCGGTGTTTAAAGAAGGAAAGAGAAGGGGCAAGTCAGGCATGTAGAAAAATATCTCACCTCTTTTGATCTGGAAATAATAAAAAAATGTGACCGGTGTCCTGCAACCAATTACATGTTTTTTTAGGTCCATCGGCCATGTCATGTTTTCACGGTGTCTTTTAGCCAATTACACGTTTTTTGCATGTCCTGTGGTAAATTTTGCCTAAAAAATAATGTGGCAAGTGAATAAATGAGCAAAGAGAAAAAAACCATATCTTGCATGAGACAGTTTCTACACAACATCTAAGACATCATGTGAGATAAGCAACATTAAATTTAAGTATGGACTAGTGGTGTTTGCATTGGAAGATTAGTGTCTAGTACTAGTTTCTTGATGATGTGGAGTTTATGGAAACTATATCTAGTGTTTTGGGTTGGGAATGGTCTAAGGGGGTGTTTAGATCACACCCAAAAATTTTACACCCTATGGCGTCGAACGTTTGAACATTGCATGAAATATTAAATATAGACTAAAAAATAACTAATTACACAGATTGCGACTAATTTACGAGACGAATCTTTTAAGCCTAATTACTCCATGATTTGATAATGTGGTGTTACAGTAAACATTTGCTAATGATAGATTAATTAGGCTTGCTATCGCGGTTTACTGACGGATTATGTATTTAGTTTTTTTATCAGTACCCGAACACCTCTGCGACATCCTATATAATACCTGATGTGACACGATAAAATTTTACATCTCTCAATCTAAACACCCTCTAAGTTACAAAAACTATTATCTTCAATAGATGTTGAGAGGAATGCATTTATCTAGTATTGTACCACCATCAGTACAGAACAACGCAAAACATAATCTTCCTTATACACTGCGTTTGAGACAAGCACATCTGGAAGAAAAGTCTCTTATTTTCTACACGCACGCTTCCTAAATTTATTAAAAATATTTTCTTAAAAAGTTAGAAAAATTGCTGTAAATATAATAGTAATTCATTTTAGTTTTAAAATAATTAATACTTAATTAATTGCGTACTAATACCCCACTTCATTTTCTGTATCTTTCCAATCTTATCCTTTATACTTCTCTCAAGCACACTAGTAAATTAGCCCCAGCGTACTGTGTTGCCCTGCTCAATCAATATATATTGCAACCTTTTGCCTTTGTTTTATTTAAATAAATACTATATCGAAATACAAACAGTTTATCTCAGTTACCAATCTGGAAAAGTTGGCTGAGAAGATGTAGCTTTATATGAACTAACACTCCTATTATCATCATATTTTTTTCATGAAAGGTGAAAAGACCGGACGGGTGTAATTTCTTTACAATGGCTAAGGGTGTGTTTAGTTTACACCAAAATTGAAAGTTTGATTGAAATTGAAACGATGTGATGGAAAAGTTAGAAGTTTGTGTATGCAGAAAAAATTTGATGTGATAAAAAAGTTGAACGTTTGAAGAAAAAGTTAGAAACTAAACCAGACCTAATTCTACGAAATAGGCCAAGGTGGTGAACCAACAGATATGACCACTTTGCTACACCATTCATGAAACGATAATACATCTCCTCGCACATTGCATATTCTTTTGACGAGTCTGGGCCAAAGTTCAGCGGTGGATTGGCCTCCAATTGGACTTGCAAAGTTGGGACCTTCAGCGGTAGAGGAATGGTGGTACCGCCTTTTGCGTATACCAAATAACCCCGGTGAAGATGCTAAAACATTTGGTGATCCTCATCTCTGGAGAGTTTCTATGCAAGCGTAACAGAGCATGTTCAGATTCGTAGTCTAAAAAATATCACGCAGAAAGTAGCTAGCAACCCGGTCCTGGACGGTCTTTTTCATTTTTAATAAAAAAAGATTAAAAAAATCGTGTCTCCTATATACTGATAGAAGATCGAACAAAGGTAAAAAGAAAAAGAAAACTTTATATGGCTATGAAAAGGTCACATTCCTCCAATCGAAAGTACCGATGTGTTGAAAGATTCATAATTTAATTTTAAAAAGTGTTACGTCCCTCCACAAAAATTCCTGTGAGACCGAAATAGAGTAGATGAGCAAGCAGCACACAGCAGGGCTCGCGCCGTACGAGACATGGGCACACACAGCACAAAAAAGCTAAGGCCCCGTTTGGTAGGGCTCCAAACTCCAACTCCCAGCTCCAAACTCCTACTCCAGTTGGAGCTAGCTCCTATTGGAGTTACAGACCCATCAAAAGTGTTTGGCAAACTTTTAGCTCCAGATCTGAAAAAAAAAAGAAAAAAAAAAGGAATCCCCGCCGCCAAGCGGCACGCCGCCGTCAGCCGGCCAGCCCCCGCGCCGCCGCCAGCCGGCCAGCCCCCGCGTCGCCGCCAAGCCCACGCGCTGCCGCTGAGCCCGCGCGCCGCCGGCCAGCCCCCGCGCCGCCGCCAGGTCGCGCGCTGCCGGCTAGCCCCTGCGCCGCCGCCCGCCGACCAGCCCCCGCGTCGCCGCCGAGCCCGCGCACCGTCGGCCAGCCCCCGCGCTGCCGACCTCGCACGCCTCCGCCGAGCCCGCGCGCCGCCGCTAGCCCGCACGCCGCCACCGAGCCCGTGCTCCGCCGCCGCCAGCCTGCCCGCCGCTGGTTGCCGCCGAATCTTGCCGGAGAAGATGGGAGAGGAGAGAGAGGATGGGAGGAGGAGGAGGAGTTTAGGGGTAGTTCAATGGCATTTCTGTGTAAATACATCAAAATTTTAAAGGGTAGTGGGTCTTTTGGGGTGGAGTGGAGCTGTGGAGCAGCAAAAACCCAGCTCCATCCCCGTAGTACAAATTTGTGGAGCTGCTCTGCCAACTCCGCTCCAAAAAACAAAGAATTTGTACCGTTTGGCACAGCTCCAGCTCTAGGTAAGTTGGAGTTGGGAGCTGGAGCTGTGCCAAACGGGGCCTAAAACGCGATCAGTCGCCCCCTCCCCCGGGGCGCGGCAACCGCGTGCGTAGGGGTGGGGCCCGCCGATTTTTTCCTCTTTTTTTTTTGTTTTTTGCGATTTTCCATTCGGTTTTTTTTCCGGTTTTTTCTTTCGGTTTTTTTCTTTTTGGTTTTTTTAGCATACACGTATACGTATAAAAAGTTTGTATACTTGTATATAAAGTTTGTATATATCGTACATAAACTTTATATAGGTCTATACAAACTTTGTATACAAACTTCGTACACTGTATACGGATATACGTGATTTTTTTTAGTTTTTTTTATTTTTAATATGTACGTATACAAAGTTTGTACACGTTGTATATAAAGTCTGTATACATCATATACAAAGATTATACGTGTTGTATATAAAGTTTGTACACATCGTATATAAAGTTTGTATGTGTGTATTTTTTTTATACATAAAATATATATATTTTTATAGTAGTAATACTAGAAGTAGTAGTACTAGTAATAAATAATAGTGTAGTAGTAGTACTAGTGGTACGCTACTAGTGACTGGGGCCGTGCGACTAGTCGCGCATTAGAGCAGATATAATAGCAGGCTATAAGCCAGCTGCAAATATATTTTAAGAAGATAAATGAGGAGAGAGAAGATCAGCGGGCTACAGATTTGTAGCCAGCTATAGCACGGACTCTAAGACACAGTGTATATATGGTAGGTGGGACCAAGTATTAATAGTGTAGTATGTAACAATGAGTTATTAGATTGGCTATAGATAAATTGGAGGTAGTAGTTGGCTCTTAGCGCGCGCGCACACACACAGCAGGCTCGCAGGTGTCCCCTCCTGGTCCGGGTGGCAAGTGGTTGATGTCCGGTTGCGAATGCGAGGTCAGCAATGCAAGCTCTCTCTGCCTTCTGCTGCCGAGCGCAAAAGCGAGGCGTCGTGTGGCGCCCAGCGGGCAGAGCAGCTGGACTCCAGCTGAGCGCAACGCAAAGGAGGCCCAGTTTTTGTTTTCCTTTCTCCTTTTCGCCACGTTTAGTTTCAAGTTTTTTCTTTAAACTTTCAACTTTTCCATCGTATTTCTATACACACAAACTTCTAACTTTTCCATTACATTATTACAGTTTTAACCAAACTTTCAAATTTAGTATAAACTAAACATAGCCAAATTTCTAGCAGTAGTAGGAGTACCACCTCTGCTGCTAAATAAATTTATTTCTCACACATATTAATACAAAACTACAGAAAAACCTAAATAACTTTACTTTATCAAATCACAATGTAACTATTTATCACTTTATCTATTCACAGTAGATATTATTTTCTTTTTATAATAATTATTTTAAAAATAAACTTATTTAAAATAGAAATGAACTCGGTTGGTGAGGGGGAGGGGAGTACGTTTGTTTCGCTGTCTCGCGCCACCTGTTCTCCACGTCTGCCCCGGTGGGGCTGTCACCATCGCGTCACGCTGTTCTCTGCTACGCCTACACCAAAGCCATATCCGTCAGCTCTTTTGGTAACCCGCCAACCCGGTGCTAGTATTATCAGTGGAACTATCATCGTGTTTAGGATTCTTTGAATCAAAGGATTTTCCTTTATGTAAGAATTTCAAAGGATTTAAATCTTATAGGAAATTTTTCTATTTGGCCCTTTGATTCAAAGGATTGAAGCTTTCCAAATCTTATGAAATTCCTATGGAATGGCACATTGCATATAGATTTTGGAGGAAATTTAGCGAGAGTTCCAACCTCTTGGAAAATTTTCTTTGAGTCTATCTCTCTCATCCGATTCCTGCGTTTTTCCTGCGCTCCAATCAAACGAACATTCCTGTGTTTTTTCTGTGTTTTGCAATCTTCTGTTTTATACTTCAATTCCGGTAAGAATCCTATGTTTTTCCTATTCCTCCGTTTTTTCTATCCTGCGATTCAAAGGGGCCCTTAGTTCCAAAGTTTTTCTTCAAACTTCCAACTTTTCCATCACATCAAAACTTTTCTACACACACAAACTTCTAACTTTACCATTACATCATTTCAATTTCAACCAAACTTCTAATTTCAGTGTGAACTAAACACAGTTGTCTTGGTACTTCCTGTTTTAGTACACAATGCCCTAAAAAAAGTTTGACATGACGTTTGATCATTCGTCTTAGGATAAATTTAATCTTAGATAATTTTTTATTGCCGTGTTTTAATTTAAACCACCATTTTACCAATGTTTTCAGTTTAGACTCGATAATTTTATCTTTGTTTTATTTTGAATCACCCAAACTCTTTTCTTAAGCATATGAACGATTTTGGGTACGCCATCTTCTATTTGTCAATAAACTCCCGCAGTTTTACGTAGACTGTTTCTTTGACATATGGTAAATTGAATTCAAATGGATAAAAAAAATCGAGAGTAGTCTAAAATAGTAAAGTACCACGAAAGTAAAATTACCCGGTCTATTTAAAGTTTGGTTCAAAATAAAACACCAGTAATAAAAAGTGAAACAAAGTGAAATATACTCTTCATCTTATTTACAAAAAGTATATATAAATGTTATATTTTTTTTGACTTGTTTTACCATATAAATACTATAATCTTAACTTAGACTAAAATTTTAACTTATTGGTTTCAAACTTCGAAAATATGCGCTAATCTTGTAGATCTCAGGGCATGTACTACTCTTAAAAAAAAGGCAACTTTTATCTTTTATGTATGGTAAAAGTTTATTCCTTTTTTCACATAGGGGGTATGTCGTAACCCATTCTTCGTGCATGCCCGCTAGAAATTCAGAGCATCACCTCTCAATACTGGTCTTACCTCTCGTACACATATATCGTTTTAAAGTTTATATGCTCGTTACAAATTTGTAACTAATGTTTTTCTCTCTCATTTTTTCTCTATATATCTAGCTTATAGTCTGCTACTCCATCATTCCATAATATAGCAACGTATAATCGGAAGAAACATATCCTTTACTATGCATCTGGATAAAAACTGTTTCGTAGGATTATAAGGGCAAGTACTATAATGCTCTATATGTTGCTCCTAAAAGTGTCACATACATTGGATTAAGTGATGAGGTGGAGAAGAGAAGTGAAAAGAGAGATGATGAGCCACCCCTAAATCAAGATACAATCTCCACACAAATTTCAAGAAAGATGTGAGAATATTAGATATTTTGGTATTTGTGAACTAGAGGTGATACATTGTATAGGTTGCCTCTTGGTTCATGAGTGAATAAAATAGATAAATTTAAAGATAGTAGTCACATCTATCATAGCACTTCCCTTAATATGTCTACTCCGGATCGAGAAAAACACTGCACATTTTGCGCAAGCGCACAAAGCGTTTCGCTCCCTTCTAAGCGCTCGTGTCGCGAATCCGACACAAATCATCCCGCTTAATCAAATCGACTACTCCGTACTTCATAATTAATGGACGCGACTAGACCGAGACCAGTCTCGCGATAGGACTATCGCGCGACGCGCGCCCCTGCCAGAAAAAGCAACCGCGTGAATGCGCAGCCCTGCCAAAAAGGAAAGCCCACGTGCGCGCACCATGCACCGTGCAACGCACGGCTCTCGCTTCGCGTGGTATAGCTGGCGTGGGCCCGGCTAGGATAGAGCGCTGCGCGCCTCCTTCCCCCCTCCAACCCATCAAGTTCGGACAGCCGGCGGCATCAATCCCCACGCAGCCGCCACGGCGGAAAAAAATCAGAAAAAAAGCACGAACAGGGGGAGGAGGAGGAAACCATCAACTCGGAGGAGGAGAAGAAAGTAGAGTAGATCCAAAAAAAAAATCACAGGTACACATGAAGTTCATCCTCTGTTTTTTTTGAGATCCATCCAAAAAATCCATAGAAACTAACCTAGAATCTTTGAGATCTTTTCTATCTTCTCTAAGAAACATATTCTATGAATCTGTGCTGCAATTTTGTAAGAAATGAGTTGTAATGTTGTTTCCTGTCTTCCATCTTGATTAATGTCCTCCCTCGTACCCCCAAATTTCCTTTGTATGTGCTGCTAGGAAAAAAAAGTTGGAGCAAAAGGCATGAGTAGTGATGTTTCGAAAATCTCAGAGCAATTTTAGCAGAAACTTACTTCTAACACTTCAGTAAATTACTTCCTAGGAACTTGCAAGTTACTTTCACATAAAATTGAATTTACATTCCATAGTAGGCTCTCAGAGCAATTTTAACAGAAACTTACTTCTAACACTTCAGTAAGTTACTTCCTAGGAGCATGAAAGTTACTTTAACATATAGTTGAATTTACATCCCCTAGTTACGCCTTCTTAATTCGTATAATCTAAATCGCGATAGGGCTATCGCGCGACGCGCACATCTGGTGATTCTGCGCTCGCTAAACCAGGGCCCCCGCGCGCGCCATCGCTAAAAAAGGAAAGAGCGCGCTTGCGCGCGCAAGCACCGTGCAACGCCTCGCTAGCTGGCGTGGGCCCCACCTAAAACAGCGCAATGCGCCTCTCTCCCTCACTCCAACCCATCCGGTGACATCAATCCACACACAGCCGCCACGGCGGTAAAAATCAGAAAAAAATCGCCATCTTGGAAGAGGGGAAGGAGGAGAAGAAAATCCAAGAAAAAATATCTAGGTAAAGTACACATGAAGTTCAAATTCCGTCTTCTTTGAGATCCATCCACAAAAAAAAAAGAACTAACCTAGAAACTTTTAGATCTTCTCTGTATTCTTCGAGAAACAAATTGATATGAATCTGTGCTGTAATTTTGTGAGTAATGAGCTGTACTCTTGTTTTCTGTCTTCCTTCTTGATTTCTGTCTTCCTTTATACCCCAAATTCACTTTCTAGTGCTACTGAGAAAAAAAAGTTATAGAGAAGGCATGAGTCCTGGTGTTTCAAAAAACTCAGAGCAATTTCTAGTAACATGCAACTTACTTCCATATAAACTTGAATTCACAAACCCTAGTTTACAGTTTACACAGCATGAAAACATCCCATCTAGTTACCTCTCAGTGCAATATGAACAGAAAAGTTACTTTACTTCCCAAAATAAATTTGAATTTGTATTCCCTAATTACATAGGCATGAGTGCTGGTGTTGGAAATCTCATAGCAATTTTAACAGAAGTCTCAGTGCATTTTTAACAGAAAAGTTACTTCTAACACTTCAATGAGTTACTTCCAAGAAACATTAAGTTACTTCTCACTGCGCATTAAGTTACTTCTCACTGTGCATTAGGTTCTCATAGCAATTTTAACAGTCTCAGTGCAGTTTTAACAGAAAGTTACTTGTAACAATTCAATTAGTTACTTCCTAGAAACATGGAAGTTACTTCCCTATAAACTTGAATCTACATTTCCTAGTTACAAATTTTGTACCTTGTTTCTATATACAGCATGATGCATCACCTAGTTGCGTCTCAATTTCATCTTGTACTGCATCAAAACAAATTGTGAAAAAAAAAATCATTAGTATAGCCACTGGTCTTAATTTGAGAAAATTGCTTCCTATAAAACATCTAAAAAAGACATGCTGCAAAAACTAAAAGTTACTTCTTCCCCCCCCCCAAATTACTGAATTACCTCAATGAATGCTCTGTATAAACTAACTTTGTTACTAATAGCCTGAAACACATGCAGCAAAAATGGACTTTGACCTCAACAGTATCCCAGAATTAGTTTCTGGTGAAAATGAACCTCCAGTACACCATTTACTAGTTGATGATAAAGACAAAAGTGAAACATACTTCCCTATAAATCCGACTGACACTAGCATGGAGATTCCTGCTATAAATTTGGACGACACTTTTGACTTTGAAACTATGTATACTGCTGGTGATGCTGGAAGTTTACAAGCACACAATGTAGCCAATGATGAGATGCAAGTATTTGAAGCCAATGATGAGATGCAAATATTTGAAGGCGATTATGAGATGCAAGTATTTGAAGAAATGTCAGATCGTGGAGACACAATGCATACTAGTGTTGCAACTGGCGCAACAACTGCTACTGCCAACACAATTTCAAGTGAAGACTCTAGAACAGATGATTCAGAAGCACAGTCAGCGCCATCACAGGATATTCCGTGCAGCACACAAGTGCCGTACCTCACCTTGACTTTCAACTCAGAGGAGGAAGCAAGGGCTCACTACAACAGGTACGCAAAGCGCGTTGGATTTTCAATCAAAATCAACACTTCAAGGAAGTCAGCCAAAGATGGAGAACGTGACAAAGTAATGTTTGTTTGCAACAAATGTGGTCCAGAAGAAAAAACGGGTGAAGTGTGCCCCCCAAAGAAAAGGAAAAGAAGTAGAACAAGACAGGCTGCCTGGAAAGCAAGGATGACAGTGAAGAGGAAAGGAGCTAGGTGAGAAGTAATTCAGTTTGTTGAAGAACACACACATCCTCTAGTTAGAAAGTTTTCACTCAAGAAATTCCTAAGGTCACATAGAGCAATACCGAAAGAGGAAAAAGATTTCATCACAATGCTGCACGGAGTTAATCTCTCAGCTGGTAGAATTATGCAATTGATGTCTGAATTGTATGGAGGGGCTAGGAATGTACCCTACACTAGAAAAGACATAAGCAATTTCAAGTCAAAGTTGGGGAGCGAGTATAGGTGTAGAGATATTCCTGAAACAATTGCTCACTTCGAGGAAATAAAAAAGGATGACCCAAATTTCTTCTACAAGATTCAACTTGATAAAGAAGACAGGGTGCAGAACATATTTTGGGTTGATGGAGCAGCAAGAAATGCCTACAAAGACTTCAAAGATTGCATCTCGTTTGACTGCACATACATGACAAACATGTATAACATGCCTTGTGCACCATTCATTGGGTTAAACAAACATGGGCAATCAATACAGGTACTCCTTTTTTTTGCAAAAAAGTAATTCTAAAAAATCTGTAATAACTTTGTACATTATAGTACATCATAAGTTACTTGTTGCATTCATTGAGTTACATCAAATCCTGATAAAAGTTACTTCTAGTAGAATGTGAAGTTACATTTGTTTTTTTAAAAAAAGGTGAAAAAGTAACTAAGTTTACAAGTTACATTTTTAGTGTTTGTTCTATAGTTCAAAATTGTATTGATTTACTTCTAGCAAACACAAACTGTAGAGACTACGCAAAATTGTAGTAACTTACTTGCTTCAAAACTGTACTGACTTCCTTATGTGTATTATTTTTGATATTCAGCTGGGTTGTGGATTTCTAAGGAATGAAAAGACAGAAACCTTTGTATGGTTGTTTCAAGCATTTCTAGAGGCTATGGAAGGTGTAGAGCCCACAAACATAATAACTGATCAAGACCTAGCTATGAAGGCAGCTATAGCGCTAGTTTTCCCACATGCTAAGCATCGCAACTGCCACTGGCATATAATGCAGAATGCTCAGAAGAAGATTGGCCATATATTAGATCATGACAAAGCATTGTGTGATGCATTCAATGACTGCCTTGACAATAGCTGGACAGAGCAAGAGTTTGATGCTAAATGGGATGCAATGTTGACAACATATCATTTACAAGATAATGAGCACTTCCGACACCTTTGGGAAATGAGACAGTGTTGGGTCCCAGTATACTTTATGCACTGTTTCTTCCCTTTCCTCCAGACTACAGCACGGAGTGAGGGATTTAACGCAGTGCTGAAGCGCTATGTAAATCCCCAAAATAGCATATACAACTTCTTTTTGCAGTACAAGAAGATTCAAGAAAAAATCACTGTTGCAACAGATCAGAATGAGTTTGAAGCAGAAGAAACAATCCCTTCTATGTGGGGTAACTATCCCATGGAAACAAAAGCATTGGAGGTCTACACAAGGCCTATATTCAACAGATTTCAAAAAGAGCTGATTGCTTCAACATCATATAAATTGACCCGAACTTCTGAAAACATGTATCTAGTAGAACCGAATGGAGGTCCTGTTAGGAATTATGGATCAAGGGCATTCATTGTAGCTGCAAATGTGTTGGATAGGACATACAACTGTGAATGCTGTAAGTTTGAAAGGGATGGCATTCTTTGCTGTCATGTTCTGAAGGTAACAGTCTGTTATTGTAGTAAGCTACTTCTCACTGTGCATTAAGCTACTTCTCACTGCACATTAAGTTACTTCTTAATGTGCATTAAATTACTTCTTATGCATTAAGCACTTTTGGCAGGTAATAAAACATATGTTTTTTTCCATGCAGGTGATGACATCTGATTTTGTGGGCCAAGTGAGTGACATTCCAGAACATTACATATTGCCTAGATGGACGATGGTTAAAGAGCCTGAATTGCCTCCAGTTACAAGCATTGGTGAACAAATGCAATTGCCCCCTGAATCTCTAAAGCTAATCAGGTATACCAATCTGTGCACAAAATTTACACAGATTGCAAAAGATGCATCAAGCAACGAGAAAGCCTACCGTATGGCTCTACAGCGTATGAGCTCAATGACTGATGACTTAGCAGCTATGAAGCAGAGTAGAAAGAAACAGAAAAAAGCACAGCCAGCCCCAGCTGATCCTGCAAGAGGAATTTCAGATATCCCCTCGGCATCAACTAACCCAACGCTACAGATAAATGACCCCCCCATCATACAAAAGCAAGGGAGACCAGTTTCAACAAGACGCAAGCCTGGGGTCCATGCAAAGGCGTCAAAGACATCAGTTAGGAAAGGCCTAGCTAGTACTGAGAAGTGAATTAGAGCTACGAGATGTAACTTATAATGTTGTGACAAGATTGTTGAAACTTACTTGCACAGTTGCATTAAAGTTACTTTTAGCTTCCATAGTAGTTACTTCACAGTGATATGTAAGTTCTCAGGAAGACCATGCTGAGTTCTTTGCAGAACCAAGATGCTATTTTAATTTGTTACCCAACCTAATTTATGTGGCTATAACTTATGTGCTGGTTCTGGAAAAAAAATGCAGTGTTTCATTACTTTACCTTAAGTGTAGGATCAGGCTCTTTGCCCCATAATACTTGCATCCATTGCACACGATTTCCTTGAAACGAGAGCATCTTGTGTGTAAGTAGTTTCTTAATGTTGGGGATGTCACTTGGTTCAAATGCTGGCAACTGTTTGCCATCCCACAACTCCACAAATTTCAGCATATAAAAACCACAATCCCGGCTGTTTTTGTTTGCAAAAACAAAACAGGGATAAGTTTGACTAAAAACAATAAATGAAAATCACTAACTAAAAAAAAGCATGTTACGTACATGTTATCTTGCTTTGGGCCATCAATGAAAATCAGTGGGTAATTCTGGATGGTTTTCTTCGAAGACCTCATGTAAAACCTATCCCACATGGTCTTGATGGATGCAACAACAAGATGATATGCTGAAATCAGCGCTTCGTCATCTTCTCCCCTCAGCGAATCATAAACCTCGAATCTTTCAGCTTTCAGATTAAGGCACACCACGAAATAGTGACCAGCCTTATGATTCCCATTACCCAATTCCTGGAGAATGGGAAAAAATGCCTGCATTCAAGTGAAAAGAGGGAGGGGAGTGGAAAAAAGGTTTTTCAGTAAATATAATCATAATTTAGTAAGTATAAAAGGATAATAAAAAGTGATTCAGAATAACATTTCATGTCAATATAACAGAAAAAGTTACTTCCACAGACATGCTGAGTTAATTTGCAAAGACATTTAAGTTACTTCTACAAGCAGACAGGAAAAAGTAACTTTACATGTCATTGACAGCTGGAATATATATTTTCTTACTAATTCTTTATGGTCAAGACGGTTCGCTCTCGTTTGATCGAAGTGTTTCTTGAGCTCATTCCTGTCCAACTTCGAATCCAACAAATATCCCTGCACCATGTGGAAAAAAAAACATAAGGTGTTGCAATGATAGTAATAATACATTAAAAAGAGATTTTTGTAAATTTTATATACTCACTCCTATTCTGGCAGGAAAAATTCTCTTCGAATTGTCCTTGATATCAGCAGACAGAACAATTAATGCCAATTCACATGTGTTATTGTCCAGTGAGCCCATAGGTTTGACAGAGTTCGCAAGATCGCTAAGATAAATATAATATTCTCCTGTATCAATGATCTTTTGGCTACATTTAACAAAAGCAAAAAGAAAAAAAAATAAATAAGCAAATTAGTATACCTTGTACAACTACTGTAGCATGTTAAATTAATTTCAATGACATGTTAAGTTACTTTCAGTGACATGTTAAGTTACTTTCTATGACATGTAAAGTTACTGCACAGGGGTGTGTAGAAAGTTTGTCTGGAAAAAATTGCTCAGTCGTGTGTAGAACCAATATGCACACAACAAAAAATGGAAGGTATGAACCAAAATGCAGTTGCTTCAATGGATGGTGAAGTTACTTATATAATTTTACTTCTCTGAGAAGTGAAGTTAGTTCTACAAAGATCATTTTACTAAAAAGTAAAAAAGTACTGTGTATAGTAAAAAATATGTGATTGTACCTATTCCTTCTTGACTTGGTTCTCCCTCCATTCTTGCAAATGTCATCATATACCTCGTTTATAACTCGAGAAACCACGAATTGCTTCTTGTTCTCATAATCAATAAAGGGTGACCTTTTGAATTTTGCTGGTTTCACCACCCTTTTATTGTACTCATGGGGCACAGGTGTTTCTTCTTCTACTTCACAAGCAATAGGTTCCTTGGAGATTACTTCAGCGACAGGTGATTTTGTGGCAGATTTGCTGGCAATGGCCTCATCTGCTTCTCTCCTAACCTTTTCATAGTCTTCAGTAGTAAAACTTCCATAGTCCTCATTTGTGATAATTCCAGGAAATTCTTTACCTTGAGATGTTCCTGCTGCTTCTTGCCCCTTTGGTGTTTGCACAACTTCCTGGGAGCTATCAAAACCAAGATTGAAGTTTGGAACTTCATGTGAATCAATGGTTGTTGTTAGGAAAGAATATTTTTCTACATTTTGCACTGGTTGCTTCTCTGATTCTGGAACATTTTGTGCTACAGCATTGGGTGCTTGCTTTTCTTCATGTTTTTCCTTGTCACCAAACCCAATACCTTCATCTACTTGTTTCCCTTTTCCAATAACATCATCAGCGCCTTTGCCACCGCTGGCAGTCCCTTCATTTGTGTCATCTCCTTTGCATTCAGTAACACCATCAACATCTTTGCCTCCACTGCCAATCCCTTCATTTGTATCATCTCCTTTGCAACCAGTAACATCAGTTGCAGCATCAGCCTGCTCACCACTCCTTCCAGTTTCAGCACCATCTTCGTCATCATTTTCTGACCTATCCTCATCGTCATCTTCTTCTCCTTCATCATCGTCATCTTCTTCTCCTTCATCCTCATCATCATCAGAATCTCCATCTTCATCAGTATATTCATCTTCCTTAGTGTCTTCCACTTCTTCTTCATCAGCAACAAAATCTTCATCATCACTTGAAGTTACATCTACCAAAAAAGAACAAAAAGTAACTTAGTGTATTGTAGGAAGTTGTTTGGACAAATGTAAAAAAACTAAAAATTCAGTTGAAATCATTGTAAAAAAAAGTGTGGTAGAACAATGATACTAATGAGATTCAAATTGTGTAGAGTGGTAGAGCATGGCTAAATTAATTATTGTGTACAATAATTAATAGATACATAGTGCAAAAACCAAACCTAGATCTTCATCTTGCTGAACTCGTTTTGTCCTTTGTGCAAGTTTCTTCTGGTTCATTCGCATTTTCCTTGGTTGGCTACCCCTAAGATCCACAAAATCAAGGCCGGAAATCTGTCTCACAAATTTTGTGACCAAACCTGAAAACCCTTCACACAAATTTTGCACAGCGATCACAATTCTGTCCTTTTCCTGTATGAAAAGAAAAAACAGAGAAGTTACGTATGCAGATTTCACAAAGTTACTTTTGCAGTTTGTTGATGTTGCATCTACCAAGGGTACAAAAAGTAAAACAGAGAAGTGGGGAAAAAAATATAAACCTACTGCTGCATACTATTGGGCACATTTGAATTTATGAAGGTTGAAAAATCTACATTGCTCCCAAACAAATTGGTCCCTTCATGCTGAAAACTGCTCCTAAGCTATATTTTCAATTATAAAATCCATAAGTTACGAACAAACAAAAAACTAAAAATGATGCAAGTATGCCAACTATAAAAAAACTCACTGGTAAAGCTCCAAAGGAGCCGTCTGCTGATGTGTCTGCTAATATTGCTTGATTTATCAATTCATTCGTCCAAACAGTAGCTCGATAACCCTCCACTGGAACATTGAGATTTTTAAACGAAAGCGAGTCCAAATAAAGAATCTACAAAAGAAATTAGAGCATTTAGATTAATTAAAAAAAGTACATAACTTGTTTGATTTAAAACCTACAAAATATGTTAACTTCCAGATGTAATTTAAATTTAAAAATAAATTGGAAAAAAAGATGTGGCAGGGCATATATGAAGAAGTAACTTAATGCACAGTAAGAAGTAGCTTAATACACAGTGAGAAGTAACTTAATGCACAGAGAGAATTTACTTGACAGAAAATTATTTATAACAATTTAACAGAAAGAAGTTACTTCCTAGGAACATGTTAGTTACTTCCTGGACAACTTAACTTACTTCTAAAAAACATAAAAGTTACATTGGGACAGTGATCGAATAAAAAAAGGCGAGCATTGTTACCATCATATACAGGAGACATGCTGAGTTGGTAGTCTTCCCAGCTTTAGTAGCTTTTTGCAAAATAGATATGACAAACTTGCACCAATTAAGATTCTTGATATTTCCAGCATCAACAACAGAAGGATAGCATCTTGGGCTGACTGTTGTTGCTGTCGTTGGTGCTAAAACAGAAGAAATGGCGTAGATGATCCACATACGCAGGTGCTTGTCATCTGCTAACTTCAACTTCTCCAATTGAATCCCAAGAGAAGTCAGTGATGGTGAGATACCATCGTTGATTCCAAGCAAATTCAGCATAAATTCTGTAGCTTCAGATTCCATCTCCTATGAGACATCTTTGTCGCCCATTGGGATACCAAGCACAGACTTCACTGACTCCTCGTTCGCATCTATGGCTCCACGTCCAGGGAATACAAGCTAATTGGTTGCTGGATTGAAATGCTCCATCAACCAGCTGCACAAATCAGGTCTGAGCTTCGAGCACTTGAGATCTACGAGGCCATGGAAGCCAGCCCCCTCTATTAGTCGCTTTTGTTCGCCACTCATATGGGGATACAACTTTATAAGTTTCATAGGTGAAGCCCTGCTACTTTCTTACTGCAAATGTATAAAACAACAAAAAGAAAAATAAAAAAAACATCAGCATTTGTTTATTTTTTCAAAAACATATATAAAACAGTTGAAAAAAGGGTAACTGAACCAAGAAGTAACTTGCCATTAAGTTAGTTCTAGAAAATAACTTGCCCTCAAGCAGCAGCATCAAAAATATTTTAGGCACGGTGAGAAGTAACTTAATGCACATAGAGAAGTAACTTAATGCAAAGAGAGAAGTAACTTCAGGCACATCGAGAAGTAACTTCTTACTTGTTAACAGAAAATTTCAAAGTAATTTTAACAGGAAGTTACTTCTAACAAAACAGTAAGTTACTTCCTATGAACATGCAACTTACTTCCAGATAAACTTGAATTTACATTCCCTAGTTACACAGCATGATACATTCCATCTAGTTGCCTCTCAGAGCAATTTGAACAGAAAGTTACTTGTTATAAAACTCAAAAAGTTACTTCCTAGAAACATGCAAGTTACTTCCAAAAATAAACTTGAATTTGCATTCCCTAGTTACATAGCCATGAGTACTGGTGTTAGAAATCTCATAGGAATTTTAAAAGAAGTAACTTAATGCACAGTGAGAAGTAACTTAATCCACAGTGAGAAGTAACTTAATGCATCATAAGAAAAATGTAGTGCATTGGAAAAAGCGAAACACTGCTTGAGGGCAAAAAATGCATAAAAAAGGTGGATGCTTAATACCTTTGATCTGCTCCTTTTTGGAGGAGGTTGCTCTATGTCATCTGCATGATCATCTCCAATACTTCTTTTCTTAGCACGTTGTGAAACCCCCATTGTTTTTTCACTTGGCTCTGGTTTGCCTAACATGCCTTTCTGTACAATGGTTTTTCTTTTTCCCATTCCTGGAAATACATTTTGGATGTTAGTAATCAACTTGCAACTAACCATCGATCAACTAATAATCAACTTGCAACTAATAATGTTAGTAATCATTTTGGAAATTCATTTTGGATGTTAGTAATCAACTTGCAACTAACCATCGATCAACTAATAATCAACTTGCAACTAACAATGTTAGTAATAATTTTGGAAATTCATTTTGGATGTTAGTAATCAACTTGCAACTAACCATCGATCAACTAATAATCAACTTGCAACTAATAATGTTAGTAATAATTTTGGAAATTCATTTTGGATGTTAGTAATCACTAGTAATCAACTTGCAACCAGAAAAATCTACATAAGCTAGAGAGAGAGAGAAATTTAAATACCTTCAAATGGAACCCGAGATCCACAAGCCGACGCTTGAGGGGGCGAATTCCACCGCAACCTTGCGCTCGCCGAGAGGATGAACTAGCACCTGATGAATGAGGGAGAGAGAGGGGAAATGAGGGAATAGGGGAGAACAAAACGGGAGGTTTGAGAAGCAATTTGCGCAGTGAAAAACTGCCCAAATCTCTCCACCTCCCCGGCACAAAAAACGCACGGAAAAACAGCCCCATCACTCCACCTCCTCGGCTCAAAAAAACCACAACGAAACCGCCACAACTTACCGAAAAAAATGGCAGCCGGATTTGGAGGAGAGAAAACCACCTCCGCCGCAGCCTACGCTTCCCACCGCAACTGCCGGCGCGATGAGAGGAAACCGTCGGCTCCGCCGACTCCGCTAACGCCGACGCGACGGGAGGAAACAGCAGCAACTCCCCGCACCCCCCTTTGCCACGGATTTCGCCGGAGATTCACGCCACCTCCGTCTCTCTCTCTCTCACTCTCTGCCTCTCTCTCTCTCGTCGAGCGCCACCCAAAACATTTGAACAGTAAACCCTCGCTCGTTCGGTCGGAAAAGGCGACGCGTGAGCTCGCTCGGTCGGCCGGTCGGGACGCGCGGAGCGCGCCGGATGGACGCCACATCACCAAGCGCGGATCGACGGCTGTCACGCGCGTCGCGCGATAGCGCTAAACGGAGAGGCCTCTCCGTTTAGATTTTACGATAATTAATCCTCTAATCCCATACTACGCCGTACACGTGCGCACGGTCAGTTCCATCAGAGCAAGGACAATAGCGCTCCAAAACATTTATAGCCAATATAATAGCTATTCATACAATAGTTAACTATAAAAATATACTACACCATTAATACCCAGTCCCACCTCTTACACACATAACATCTTGATTCCATATTGCAGCCGGCTACAAATCTGTAGCCCGCTTTCTTCTCTCTCTCCTCTTTTCTTCTGTTATAGCCGTATTAATACAGTCTGCTATTGTACCTACTCTCACGCACGCCTAGCATCCCAAGGACCAAGCCCCTCTGGCTAGTCGTGGTCCACGGCTCGGCAGCCGAAGATCAGCCGCTGACAGGTGGGCCCCGGCCAGCGTGAGCTGCCGGTGGCCCACGTGGAACAGTTGTAGGGAGGGAGTGGGGCTATACCAACACCATCGGATTCCGGCGAGCCGTGGGTTTAGATCCCCGGATCCGCAGTAATTTTCCGGCTGACGAGTGACAACCACTGTCATTTTCAGACTTGCTCTCGCTGTCGTCGCTGTGACTCCTGAAAAAGTTACACCTACCGGCTCCCTGTCTTGTGATTGGCTGGCGTTCACACGCCTGTACTTAGGCTGTGTTTGCAATCTCACGTTCCCAACCCTTTCCCCGTTTTCCGCGCGCACGCTTTTTAAACTATTAAACAGTACGTTTTTTTAAAAAAGTTTCTATACGAAAGTTGGTTAAAAAAATCATATTGATCCATTTTTGAAAAAAAAAATTAGCAAATACTTAATTAATCACGTGCTAATGGACCGCTCCGTTTTCTGTGCGGGGAGTTTAGTTCCCAACTTCCCATATCCGGTTTTCGTGCGGGCAGTTTAGGCTGGGTTTAGATCAAGGCGTGAAAAATCTTACGTCATATTGGATATACGGACATATATTTAAAGTATTAAATGCAGATTAATAACAAAATAAATTATAAATTATGTCTGTAAACTGCGAGACGAATTTATTCGTCATTAGCAAATGTTTATTGTAGCACCACATTATCAAATCATTGAGCAATTAGGCTTAAAAGAATCGTCTCGTAATTTACACGCAATCTGTATAATTTTTTTTTTGTCTATATTTAATACTCCATATATGTATCCAAACATTCGATGTGACAGTGTAAAAAGTTTTTACGTGTGAACTAAATAGGGCCTTATAAAAACAAATGGGTGTACCTACAGATATACTCCTATGTAAAAATAGAGGAAGTACTTGAAAGCCTATCTCACAATATCCTGAAATTTTAAACTACACATTTAATTTCGTACTTATACATATAAATTAGACGAAATAAAGGGTTATACAACGGTACTTTTATAAATTCAAGAGATCAGATCAGATGGTAAATTTTAGAGTTCATGACTCTAGATCTCCCTTTTATATATATGTAGAATTTTGCGGGGTGCGTGGGCTTTTCTCCTTATATTTTGAAGACAATTGGTTTGTCTAACTGCAGTTTACAGCCCAACCACACAGCCAGCTACTACATATATACTACCTCTTGCATCTATCAAACTAATCAAACTGGCTCGAAGCTGCGAAACAACGTTGTAAATGGAAGCCGATCAACCCCAGTGAATCACTTTCTTGAATGTTATAATTAGTTTAATACACATGAAAGTCCTTTCTTCGTCCTAATGGATTTATACTAACCATTCAACTGTTCAGCATGATTAGTGCCTTAGGGGTAATTGGGTGGTCGGTTGCCACTCTGCGCCAAATCACACGGGCGTTGAAGTCGCTAGATTAGGACCATTCTAATGTAGTAGAGGTACATAGATACATACACTAGATACTTGTATTGCTGAATGATATGTTAACTTTGTTTAGAAACAGTTGATGTTTTGCTAATGACCGTGGAGGACAAGTGTTCTTAGTAAAAGATCCCCAAGGTAGAGTAGAGGCCAACTGCAGCCCAAGCTCTCTGGCCAATGACAAAACATTGTTTTATTGCAGCGTTTATTATTATTATTATTGAAGTGATTCATGCATTCAGCTTGATACCCTAGTACTCCTAATCCATCCGTCTCAAAATATAAAATATAAGTACTTTTAGAATCTGACACGGTCTCTGATATACTACTTTGACCAACAATATCTATGAAATAAAAGCAAGATGTTTTAAATAAAGAGAATTATATATTGTGATAGTTTGTTTAATGATAAATCTAGTAACATTAATTTTACATGAGTGATATTTTTTATTTTTTTTGCTATTAATAGTCAAAGTTAAAAATGTTTGACTTGTCATTATACTAAAAATACTTATATTTTGGGACGAAGAGAGTACTCATAGAAAAGGTAAGGGACTAAAGGTAAAATGCTATACCTACCAAGTATATCTAGGCATAGCCACCATAGAAAAGCCGCTAGAATTTTTCATCGTGCAAGATAACCTTTAGTCCCTCTTATAAAAATATAAGTCCCTTTGTGAGAGCTACTAAATTTAGTACCTAATTACCAAACACCCCCTAAATCTAAGCGACGAGATTATATTCGGAAGACTCGCTGAAATATCTTTAGCGGTCAACCAAAAGTCTTGACCAGATATATTCGTTGTTAACCCTACGTTACGACAAAAAAAAAGTTGCTACGAAAAGACAAACTAAGATAGTCTTGAAAGATGTCACCATAGCCAAGAGATGTGAATCAAAATAGTAAAAATGACATAAGCATACATATGATAGTCAGACGAATATTTTTAATGTATAACACGAATCAAACCACAGCTCAGATATATAATATTATGATACTCGAGTCACCCATGGTCCGCTCTAGAAATTCACCCACCATCTACATGTGTCGGCTAGAATAAATACAACCCAAATTACAACGGCACAAATATTCTTTAGAACATGCAAATGCGCAACAGCTATCAAGACAATCAAGCCTTGGAAATCCCAAAAAAAGAAAGAAGAAAGATGCACACAACTGGAGCACAACACATGGCTGAACCAGCACGTTAATAGTCCAAATATATATATATATATATATAATAAGTCATACATAAAGTATTATTTATATTTTATTATCTACTCGCTTTATTCCATAATATAAGAGATTTTAGATGGATGTGATACATTATAATACTACGAACCTAGATATACTCTATATTTGTATGTGTCATATTCACCTAAAATCTCTTATATCATAAAAACGGAAGAAGTAGTAATAAAAATATTATCATAAAAGTTTAAATAAGCCAAACGATTAAACACTAGACATATAAATCTACCGCTAACCTTAAAATGAGATGAGATAGAGGGACAGAGCGGCTAATTAACGCGTATCCCAATCACGCAAGGGATTAAAACCCCTCGTCCGAATTGCTAACACCACACCGTTCGTCTCCCCCTCGGAGAAACGCGCACCGAGCTCAGCTGTCATCCATCCATCCATCCACGCGACGCGCAGACACAAAGAGAAATACATACGACGCCTCACCGACCACTCGCTGCCCACCATTACTGCTGCTGCTGCTGCTGCTCCCACCACCACCACCACCACGGGACGAGGAGGAGGAGGCTGCAAGAATCCAAGAAACCGCGATGCCGGCGCGGGCCGCGGCGGCGGCGGCTGCGGTGGCGCTGCTGCTGGCCGTCTGCGCTCAGGCGGCGGCGCTGCCGAGGTTCGCTGAGGCGCCGGAGTACAGGAACGGGGAAGGGTGTCCCGCGGCGGCGACGGCGGCGGCGGGGGTGTGTGACGCTGGGCTGGTGCACATCTCGATGACGCTGGACGCGCACTACCTGCGCGGGTCCATGGCGGCGGTGTACTCGCTGCTCAAGCACGCCTCCTGCCCGGAGTCGCTCTTCTTCCACTTCTTGGCGGAGGAGGAGGAGGTTGGGGGTGGTGGTGACCTGCGGCGCGCCGTGGCGGCGTCGTTCCCGTCGCTGCGGTTCGAGATCTACGCGTTCAGGGCGGAGGCCGTGGCGGGGCTCATCTCGGCGTCCGTGCGCGCCGCGCTGGAGTCGCCGCTCAACTACGCGCGGAACCACCTCGCCGACCTGCTCCCGCGCTGCGTGCCCCGCGCGATCTACCTCGACTCCGACGTGCTCGCCGTCGACGACGTGCGGCGCCTCTGGGAGACGCGCCTCCCCGCCGCCGCCGTCGTCGCGGCGCCCGAGTACTGCCACGCCAACTTCTCCCGCTACTTCACCCCGGCGTTCTGGTCCGACCCAGGCCTCGGCCGCCGCGTCTTCGCCGGCCGCCGCCGCCCGCCCTGCTACTTCAACACCGGCGTCATGGTCATCGACCTCCGCCGCTGGCGCGCCGGCAACTACCGCCACCGCATCGAGCGGTGGATGGAGATCCAGAAGGAGAAGCGCATCTACGAGCTGGGCTCGCTGCCGCCCTTCCTCCTCGTCTTCGCCGGCGAGGTCGAGGCCGTCGACCACCGCTGGAACCAGCACGGCCTCGGCGGCGACAACGTGCGCGGCAGCTGCCGCCCGCTCCACGACGGGCCGGTCAGCCTCATGCACTGGTCAGGCAAGGGGAAGCCATGGGACCGCCTCGACGCCGGCAACCCGTGCCCGCTCGACCACACCTGGAAGTCCTACGACCTCTACGTTGCCGGGGACGACGGCGCCGCCGCCTCCTCGCCGGCGTCCGGGCCGGCGTTGTCGTCGACGTCGACGACGTGGCCCGCATTGGTGTTCTCTTGGTAGAAATTGAGGATCTCTAGCTGTAGTGCCATACTGGGACACAATAATTCTTTTGTTGGTTGCGCGGGTTCATGGCAATTGCAATGGTGATCCTCCATGGCATTGCATTGCATTGCTGCTGCTGTTGCCGCCGTGAGCTAAGCCACCCCTCGCCATCGGCTGTACAGGGCGGTGAAGGGAGGCCGCGGCGATTGCCGCGCGAGGATGGGGGGAGAATGGATAGAGAGAAAAGATGATCTTGTTCTTTTCGGCGGAATTCAGATTGGTTATTTGGGGGGGATTTTGATTCTTTTGGGTGGTGATTCTTGGGGTTCCCAATTCGCTCGATTGGCGGTGTACAATTCTTTGGTAGGAAAGACCTGGAATTTTTGTTCAATTATTGATTATTCTTTCATTCCTATGTGATGTGTTCATGATCTCAAATTAGTATATGATCTGAGTCTGAATTGGATTGAACCTGGAGCAGAACCATTTTGTTCTATCAGATATGAAGTTCTACATTGGATCTCCTATTCTTGAAATGCCCAAAGTTCAAACCAAACATGCCGATCATGTGAAGACTGAAGAGCACAAACTGAATGCAGCTGGCTGGCATTTCTGTCGAATTCAAAACTGGGGGCAAACACCAAATTGAAATGTGATGAAACTGGTGATTGATGGTGCTGAAACTGTGAGGCTACAATTCCTATCTTTGGATGCCTTCTCCATCATCAATTCAACCTTGTCCTCATGCACTGAATTCTTCTCCCGGCCCCTGATTGAGAACAATCCATGTCATACTCTCTGAATTCATTTCACTTGTATCAAGTTTTTGGTCAGAAATCAATGCTCCACACAAGAGACTTGTGACAGGAGGCTTCAAAGTTCTCCTACAACATCTGCCCATTGGTTTCCCGCCTGCTTCCAAATCATTTGAAACAAAAGGTACATTCAGAATTTGAGGTCAGTTCTAATTCTGAACTAGTTTTCCTTTTAAGTATTGATTAAGTCAAAATCATTTTGTTGGGTTGGTAGTTAGGTTCCTTGCAATCTAAACAGGATGTGCCTATAATAACTTACCTACTACTTACTACTAGGCCACTACACAATCAGCTCTACTGATGAAGAGCTGAATAGATGATGCTAGCTCATACTATAGTAGAAGGCTTGAAGCAACAAAAATGAGAAGCCTAGTTTAGTGTAAAGTAGTATATGACCAGTTATATGCCAAAGTTGATCCACTTTATACAAAGACAGGATCACAAGTCAGGTCCAGGCTGGAGGCAACCAACTAATGAACAGCTAGAGAATTGAAACTGCAAGCCAAGTGCACTACCACTGCAGTGCAACTGATCATTGTCTGTTTTCTTTTGTCCCTTGCTTCACCTTCTCACTTTGCTTTTCTTTTCTTTTTTTACCCCCCCCCCCGGCATGAAGTGTGATGAACTCCTCCATCTGTCCACTGATGAGCATCTACTACCCCTAATTAATATATCCTCTCTTACACAAATGTCACATGGAAAACATCAGCATGATGGAAAAGAAAGATGAAAAAGCCAACCATTGACATTGGTAAATTGGTGGTGATGATGGATGGATTGATGGTGCATATTGTAGAGATAAGTCATTTTCAGGTAGTGCTTGTTTTCGTCATCGCAAATACTAGTACTACTAATTAGGTGATGTTGTTAGCCAGAGAATCCAATGTTGTTTTATGATCATCCAGGCATCATGCACCTGCCTGCCTACACCGACACAAAATACTCCCATGTTGTAATTTGTAAATGGACACAATTAACACCCAATTTTTTATTTAAAAAATGTGCCAAATTATAAATAGGATCCAACCTGACATTTACATAGGACCCGAGTCTTAGGGTGCGATCGTTTCAGCAGTGGCGGTGGACAGTTTAGCCGCACGTAAAACGAGAAATACGATTAGCATATGATTAATTAAGTATTAATATATATTTTTTATGAATAAATTTGTTGGATTTTTTTAACAACTTTTTTATAGAAAGTTTTCGCACGAAATTACCGTTTAGCAGTTTGAAAAGCGTGCTAACGGAAAATAGTAGAATCTAATTTATAAGCTGAAAAGAGCACACCCTTAGTATTAGAGATGTTTTATTGTGCTTGGAAGGGATGAACCTAGATATTGAGGATGTTTTAAATGGGTAATATCTTTTCTGGTAAAAAGGAGTGGAATAATATCCTTGCCCTTACAATTTTTATGCAACGATGCCATTTGTTGCCCTAAGATCGTGGGGATAATTGAGCCGCACAATGATTTTTAAATAAGGTGCACGCACCAACCAATTCAAAAAACTTATAATCTACTTAGGAAAATTGGCCTATTTATGAATGGGTGTTTGGCGCGAATTTTTTTTTTCCCGACGACTTATAAGCGAGAACCAATTTGATAGCTGACTGCCACAAATAATTTCCCTACACAGACATACAATCTGAAGCAAAATGCTCTCCCCATCATTCTATACTTTGCCAGCCACGCTCGACCAGGGCGGATCGCGCAATAGAATTTGAATGTTTTCCTATAAACGGAAACAAAATTTTTGTAACAAACACTTAGGCAAACACTTAGGCCTTGTTTAGATTCCAAAAAAATTTGGCAAAAAACGTCACATCAAAGTTTGGATACATGCATGGAGCATTAAATGTGGATGAAAAAAAATCAATTGTACAGTTTACATAGAAATTGCGAGACGAATCTTTTGAGCCTAATTACGCCATGATTTGACAATGTGATGCTACAGTAAATATTTGCTAATGACGAATTAATTAGACTTAATAAATACGTATCGTAATTTACAGGCATAATCTGTAAATTGTTTTGTTAGGGCATGTACAATTGTTTTGTTAGGGCATGTACAATGATCTTTTTTTTATTACCATGCAAGTAAATTTGATGACATGGAAGAAAGAGAAAGGAGGAAAGAGAAATATGGTTGTTATGCATGACAACGGTTCAGAGTCGACTCTTAGTATTTATTAGAGTAAATTTTGTTGCATGGTGGTGAAAAAAAGGAAAGAAGAGTTTGATAAAAATATTTTGATACATTAATGATAGAGACCATATTGTCCCCAACTGTTGTAGGATGTTAGTCTCTAGATAGCGTAGAGCTCATACCTGTCTCTATCTTTATATATGCCCTTATTAGTCTATGTTTAATACTTCAAATATGTGTCCGTATACGTCAAAAATTTTACACCCAAAGAACTAAACACACCCTTAATGTCATAAGATTTGTCTAGACTCTGAAACTTTTCTGGATCCGCCACTGACTTGACACACTGTAGCACCATTCTCGATTCTGAGAATTAGTTTATTAGTGGCCAGTTTCTGAGAATCTAAATAAGCTGATTTCTCAGCTTCTAGTTTATTTTTTAAATTCAGTAACTGCAAATTCCTAGAATTTAGATAAAAATGCTAAACTATTTAAGAAAGCTTTTGATTATAGAAAAAATTGTAGCTGACAGAAACTTTCCTAAACATGCTCACAGGCGCCGAATATGGCCGCCATTACTGTCCTTGCATTGGTACCTCTCCATAACGCTGGCCACTGAATTCAGGTGTGCATGCATCCCCGCCGGCGTACTACGTGCCCGCAGTAAAAATCACCTGTCGCTCGCTGCTGCCACGCAGCGAGGTCGATCGCCTCCGATTCGTGGTGTTACAGCAAACATTTTCTAATGACGGATTAATTAGGCTTAATAAATTCGTCTCGTGGTTTACTGACGAATTTTGTAATTATGTGGTGCTACAGTAAATATTTTTTATTAGTGCCTAACCACCCGGAAACGGATCGTCTACTGGACAGTTAATACTGCATAGGTGCTGTAGCGATCAAATGAAGCCATCAGATTACATTGGATGGCTCTGATTCTGCTCAATCTGCCCACCACTTACTTGACAGTTACATGGCTAAGGCCATGAAAGCTTCAGACTCTGTTTATACATATATGATGTGCTGTTCATCTAACGATATGCCTCCCATTTCACATATTCTACAAATATCATAAGCAGAGCATCGCCTCACTGTGTAGACAATATCATAAGCAGAGCATCGCCTCACTATGAAGTCTACACTTATTCCAAAGTGTAACACTAAAAAAGTTGTGTAACACTAAAAAAGTTGCATCGTTCATTTACACCCTCTATAAAATAGTGCTCTGAAGAAAAGGTTTCAGGAAGATTAAACACAATGCTCTGATAGAAACATGTACAAAGGTACTTGCATGTGTGCAAATAGTTTCAGTACTAAACACTGACAGAAGAATGCATAGCATAAATTTTCTGTGGCATTGAAAAAAAATGAATGGATGTTCTCAAAAGTAAATGTTCAATGGCTTGATTTGTTATTCTCAATTTGATACCCAGGCATCTAGCTATCTCCCATCAAAATTTGCATTGAACCCAAAATTCCAGGTAGTATCAAATATGTTCTGCTCCATGCCATCACCCTATACAATGAATTAGAGTAATTAGAAAAATAATATTGATGCTGCTAGACAGTATGCACTAAATATATAAGTTTTAGTATATATAAGTGGAATACCCTCAGTAGTTCTGCATAGCTATTGATCCATCCATATTCTTCAGATCCCTTCTCATTCGTTCCATTAGTCTTCTCCACCAGAATTTGGTTCTGTGCTATGGAACAATCCTTCGCTTGCTGCTAAGCAAAACCATCCAGATAAAATATTACTCTATATATAATCAGTACATATATAGTCTAATTGAATAGTTCGTAAGTAACATACCGAGATATTTTGTTTGTCAGGTACAACTTGTACCTTCTTTTTGGTGGGATGCTGCTTATCAAGCCAATTTTTCTTTCTCCTTGTGCTACACTTTTGAGTTTCTTTTTTCTTCAGACGTGCAGTGTGCAAAGAGCCGTTTGCTTCTTCAGATGCAACTTCACCTAGTTGACTATTAGGTGTTTTTTCATCAACTTCTTTCCTCATGCTCTCTAGAACACTGTCCACTAGTGTGCTGCACTCTTCAGATTCAGCAGCTCGAATAGCTATACCAAGAAATTTGTGAATAAGAAACTTCAAGCGGCACCTATCCTCCAATCTGGGATCTTATACGACAATCTTGCCATAACAGTCCTCAATAGCACCAACTCGTGCTTCTCGAGTCCATCGCTTCAAAATATATCTCTTTGGCAAAGACTTAATATTCATCACATCAAGGACTTTCAAAGCATGACTGCACAATATTCCAGTCCTTTCAAATTGTCCACAGGTGCACAATGCCTGTTGCTCTGCATAATTGCCTACAACTTTGCACTCCTCTTCAAATGTTGACGCTTCACCAGGAGCCTCAATTGCAACAATGAATTCATTATGTTCTGATGACTTGATGTATGCAGCCATGGATCTTTCATATTCATTTTG